CTGTTGTGTAAAATTGAATTATCCATGCAAAGATCCATCTTTAGTGAAGGATGCTACTCCCTTTCACAGTATATTTAAAAATCAGGCCTCGTGAATGAATTCCTATGAATAAATTCTTAATTAAAAAGGAGTTTAATACCAGAACATGCCACAATCCCCCAGCTGTGAGTTGTTAGGCTCCTTCAGGAAGGTTTTTCCGTTCAGGATCTGTTATCCCATGGCAGTGATATTCCCAGGGATGCTGCAGAGGGAGGCTCTCCCTCTCCTCAGGCTGATATCAGCAACATAATTTATTTATTTGGGCACAAAACCCACCCTGGCAAACATCATCCTCTGTCTATTAAGGGCTCTCACCATTCCCAACCACAATTCAGAGGCTTTTTTAAAACCCTCCCCTAACCCAGCCAAAATCACCGACCCCAAGCGTGTCCCTAGAAAACACATTCTTTATTTTTATGCTGCAAATAACTGCTGTAAAAATCCTGCTTTCCTTATTTCCTCTCAGATTCTGCTAAATAGAAGTGAGACCTAAACAAAAAACCCCTCAGATGAGACATGCAGCTTGCTGCTGAGACAGATTTCCATACATATGGCACCAGACAAGCTCAACATGCAAAGATTGTAAAACTCGCAGCAGCCCTGGCAGTTTCTAGGTTTCCTTGGAAAGCTGTTTTGTTTCGGCATTGCCGTGGCAAAGTAAAAAATAATGAAGAAATTGCTTTAATTTTCCGTGCAGCAGAAATGTCAGCCAGCAATTGTTCTGGTCCTGCCCTCGGTGACACACGCTCAGATATTTTTATTTGACATTTTCCCCCCTTTCATTCCTGCCTCTCCTCTCTCCAAGTAGCTGTGATTTCACTTCTCTGGAGATTCCAAACAAAGCTCTGATTCATCTTGCAGAGGCTGTGGGAGCTGCAGCCAGGAGGATGCTGTGAGAGGGATCCAGGAGGATTCCCCTGGGCCAGGCAGGGCACACAGGGCTGGGGGTGCTGGCCCCAAACTGTCCCCAAAGCTCTGCCCCTGCAGCATCCCAGGGGAGCTCTTGTTGATTTGCTGTTCTTCACAAACCCTCCAAGCTCTCACTGGCTCTGGCCTAAACTTCTTCCACCCCAAATCCTGACTTTGGGTGTCACACACACCCTTGTGGGTCACACACATCCCTATGGGTCACACACATCCCTTTGGGTCACACACATCCCTATGGGTCACACACACCCCTGTGGGTCACACACATCCCTGTGGGTCACACACACCCCTGTGGGTCACACACATCCCTCTGGGGGTCACACACATCCCTATGGGTCACACACACCCCTTTGGGTGTCACACACATCCCTCTGGGGGTCACACACATCCCTGTGGGAGTCACACACATCCCTGTGGGTCACACACATCCCTTTGGGTGTCACACACATCCCTTTGGGGGTCACACACACCCCTATGGGTCACACACATCCCTATGGGTCACACACACCCCTATGGGGGTCACACACATCCCTATGGGTCACACACATCCCTATGGGGGTCACACACATCCCTTTGGGTCACACACATCCCTTTGGGGGTCACACACATCCCTATGGGTCACACACATCCCTTTGGGTCACACACATCCCTTTGGGGGTCACACACATCCCTATGGGTCACACACATCCCTTTGGGGGTCACACACACCCCTTTGGGTCACACACATCCCTGTGGGGGTCACACATCCCTTTGGGGGTCACACACACCCCTATGGGTCACACACATCCCTCTGGGGGTCACACACACCCCTATGGGTCACACACATCCCTTTGGGTCACACACACCCCTGTGGGTCACACACATCCCTTTGGGTCACACACACCCCTGTGGGTCACACACATCCCTATGGGTCACACACATCCCTTTGGGTCACACACATCCCTATGGGTCACACACATCCCTATGGGTCACACACATCCCTATGGGTCACACACATCCCTTTGGGGGTCACACACATCCCTATGGGTCACACACACCCCTGTGGGTCACACACATCCCTTTGGGTCACACACACCCCTATGGGTCACACACACCCCTTTGGGTCACACACATCCCTGTGGGGGTCACACATCCCTTTGGGGGTCACACACACCCCTATGGGTCACACACATCCCTCTGGGGGTCACACACACCCCTATGGGTCACACACATCCCTTTGGGTCACACACACCCCTGTGGGTCACACACATCCCTTTGGGTCACACACATCCCTTTGGGGGTCACACACACCCCTATGGGTCACACAAATCCCTTTTTGGGCTACCTAAAAACAGAGGCCAGACAGAATTAAGGGAATAAGAAGCAGTTTATTTATTGAAGGGCCTTCAGGTACATTTAAGGCAGACAAAGCCCCTGGGGCTCAAAATGGACAACTCAAAATGGTCAACTGGTCACAGGTTTCAGACTTTTATAAGTTTGGTCCATTTGCATGTTGGGGTTGAATCTCCCAATTCCAGCTTCAGGTAATGAAGTCATTTACCCCAAGTTTGCTGCCCCCAACTCCCTTTTGTTTCCATCTCTCAGGGCCTGAGGCAGTGAGGTGTCCTCGATCTCCAGGCCTGGAGAGGAATTGTTTGTTTGACAAAATGGGAGAACAGCAGCTGACACAGGACATGGAGTCTGGAGTTCTACACTAAAGAACAGCAGTATTACAAATACATGAAAAATATAAAAGCTAAAATCCTATGGCATCACACACATCCACCCCTTTAGGTCTCACACACCCCTGTGGCTGTCACACACATCCCTGTGGGGTTTGCAGGGCTGAGCTTTCCTGATGCTCCCTGGGCGGCACAGGTGAACATTTCCTCTTCACCTGTGTTATAGATACAGGAGAAATTAAAATATTGACTTTAAAATATTAAAATATTGTCTTTTTGCAAATATTAAAATAGATTGTATATGTATAATGCTAAAGTAACTTTGTTACAAAGATGTAGTTTTTATTTCTGTTGTTGATTAGCTTAGACATAGTAGTAAAGTTCTCAGAAGGCTGATATACTATACTATATTAACTATACTGTACTCTATTATACAATATTATATTATACTATATAATATTACACAATATTATACTATATTGCTATACTAAAACTACACTAAAGAGAAAGGATGCATCAGAAGGGTAGAAAAGAATGAATCATAAAAAAACCCGTGACTCCTCAGAGAGTCACTCACAGCTGGCTATGATTGGTCATTAATTAAAAACAATTCACATGGAACCAATCAAACATTCACCTGTTGGTAAAGAATGTCTAAATCGCATTCCAAAGCAGCAAAACACAGGAGAAGCAATCAGATAATTATTGTTTTCATTCCTCTCTGAGGCTTCTCAGCTTCCCAGGAGAAAATCCTGGGCAAAGAGGATTTTTCAGAAAAATATTTTTTTTTCAGAAAATACTGAGTGCGTCCAGAGGAGGGCCACAAGGCTGGTGAGGGGCTTGGAACACAAGCCCTGTGAGGAAGGTTTGAGGGAGCTGGGGCTGTTTAGCCTGGAGAAGAGGAGGCTCAGGGGTGACCTTATTGCTCTCTGTACCTTCCTGAAGGGAGGCTGTGGACAGGTGGGGTTGGTCTCTGACAGAACCAGAGGACACAGTTTCCAGCTATGTCAGGGAAGGCAGAGGTTGGATTGTAGGAAAGGCATTCTGTGCTGTTCTTGTGAGCCAGCAAGGCCTCCTGAAGATAAAGGGAAGCCCCATCTCTGCTGAGGAAGACACCAAGGTTGTCACCATGGAGAGGTGATGAAGGAGAGAAAGTTAAGAGATATGGACTCCAGCTGGCTCACAGAGTGACATGGATCCTTGTTCACCTACTGAGAACTTTGTTTATTTCCTATAACCAGTGGGCAGTGAATGTGTATGTTGAGTGAATGTAAATATCTTGGAAAACTATAAAAGCAACAGATTGCTATAACAAACCCCTCTTATGCACCCTTCTGATGGAGCCTTGATGCTTTGTGCTGTCACGCTCTACAGTGACATGGATATTAAGAAGAAGTTTTTCACTGAAAGAATAACAAAGCACTGGAATGCTCTTCCCAGGGAGGTGGTGGAATCACCATCTCTGGATGTGTTTAAATTTTAAAAAGACTGGACATGGCACTTGGTGCTATAGTTGAGGTGTTGGGGCACGGGTCGGACTCAATGATCTTAGAGGTCTCTTCCAACCTCATCTTTCTGTAATTGTGTGATTCTCTGGGATTCTGTGATTCTGTGTGATTCTGTGATTCTGTGGGATTGTGGGACTGTGTGGGATTGTGTGGGATTGTGTGATTCTCTGTGATTCTGGGAGTCTGTGACTGTGTGATTCTGTGATTCTGTGTGATTCTGTGATTCTCTGGGATTCTCTGTGATTCTCTGTGATTCTGTGATTCTGTGTGATTCTGTGATTGTGTGATTCTCTATGATTCTGTGATTGTGTGATTCTGTGATTCTGTGTGATTCTGTGTGATTCTGTGTGATTCTGTGATTCTGTGATTCTGTGTGATTCTGTGATTCTCTGTGATTCTCTATGATTCTGTGATTGTGTGATTCTGTATGATTGTGTGATTCTGTGTGATTCTGTGATTGTGCGATTCTGTGATTCTGTGTGATTCTGTGTGATTCTGTGATTCTGTGATTCTGTGTGATTCTGTGTGATTCTGTGCGATTCTGTGTGATTCTGTGATTGTGCGGTTCTGTGATTCTGTGTGATTCTCTGTGATTCTCTGTGATTCTGTGTGATTCTGTGATTCTGTGTGATTCTGTGATTCTGTGATTGTGTGATTCTGTGATTCTTTGTGATTCTCTGTGATTGTGTGATTCTGTGATTGTATGATTGTGTGTGATTCTCTGATTGTGTGTGATTCTGTGATTGTGTGATTCTCTGATTGTGTGTGATTCTGTGATTCTGTGATTCTCTGTGATTCTCTGTGGTTGTGTGATTGTGTGGCAGAGGTGAGAGCTGACGCTGTGTCCCCGTCCGTGTCCCCGCAGAGCGGGCGGCCGGCGTGTACCACCGCGAGGCGCGCTCGGGCAAGTACCGGCTGACCTTCGCCGAGGCCAAGGCCGTGTGCGAGTACGAGGGAGGACACCTGGCCACACTGCAGCAGCTGGAGGCAGCCCGGAAAATAGGTCTGGAAAACACAGGGCTCCTTCTGAGGGGGCTGGGTGGGTGTTGTCATTTCTGTCCCGAGCTCTGGGGCTCTTTGGAAACTCCACAGGGTTTTTGGTAAGGAGCAGGAGGAGTGCCAGGGTGTCCCCACCCTCCCTGCCAGGAATTCCCAATGTCCCATCCATCCCTGCCCTCTGGCACTGGGAGCCATTCCCTGGCTCCTGTCCCTCCATCCCTTGTCCCCAGTCCCTCTCAGCTCTCCTGGAGCCCCTTCAGGCCCTGCCAGGGGCTCTGAGCTCTGCCTGGAGCCTTCCCTTCTCCAGGGGAGCATTCCCAGCTCTCCCAGGCTGGCTCCAGCCCTGGGAGCATCTCCCTGACCTCCTCTGGACCTGCTCCAACCACTTTTATTTCCATCAGGATATTTTGTCTGCAAGGGAATGAGTTCTGTGCTTGGAGTGAAAAGTGGAGCTGAGTGAGAGCTCCCCTGCATTTCCAGCTGATTCCTAAGAAGTTCTTCATTCATTCAGAGCACTGGGAAAACAATGGAAAATATCCTCCACTCCAGACATTTTTTCACTCTGCTGTTGAGTCAGGAGCTGGCTCCCAGCAGCAGCACATGTGAAAAGGGCACTTTTGTTTCTTCTGAGGAGCTCTGAGCCCTGAGATGCCACAAATATGTTCCAGCTCCTCTCCATGAAAACACTGGATGGGTCTCTACAACATTGCATTCTTTGGCTATTGGTGCTGAGTTCTCAGCCACAAAATGCATTAAGGGGATCTTTTTGTTTGGCAAGAAATCCCCGAGGCATTTCAGGTATTTAAATTTAAATTGGAAGTGTTTTAAGCAAATGCTTGGGGATTTTAGCCGTCTGTAGTATTTTATTTATTTTTAGAACTTAATGCTGAGAACCCTTGAGATGGGATTGAGTAAATTTGTCTGACTTCAAAAGGGAAACAGAAAACACCCTTGGAAAACTCATCCAATGGCTAATTTGATTACAAGTGCTGGTAGAGCACTTAAACCTGACTGTACAGTCCATCTGCATTTGATTTGGGGTTTCAGATGAGGAACCAGTAATCACATTGTGGAGAACACAATTCAGTTTTGCCCTCTGCATTTAAAATTATCCTCTCAACATCCTGTTCTCCCCTTTAGCTCAATTTCCATCAGGCCCATCACAGCCAGGCCTTTGAGTGAGACTTGGTGCAATAAGCGCAGCCCAGTTCTGACCATTTTCTGCCTCCTTTGCTGCAGGTTTCCACGTGTGTGCTGCTGGCTGGATGGCCAAGGGCAGAGTTGGCTATCCCATAGTGAAAGCTGGAGCCAACTGTGGCTTTGGCAAGACTGGGATTGTTGATTATGGGATTCGCCTCAACAGGAGCGAGAGGTGGGACGCCTACTGCTACAACCCCAACGGTGAGGAGAACCACAGGGCTGTCCTTCTGTCCTCTTCTGTCCTCTTTTGCATTTAGTCCAAAATTTATCTGAATAATCTGAGGGCTTTCTGCCTGTAATCTGAGGATTCTGCCCAAAACAGGGTAAATTTAGGGTTAAACCTTCTTTTTTTTTGGTCTGAAATGGAACAGCTCTGAAAATGAATGCCCTGCCTGGGACTGGCATTCTTAGGAGGATTGAGCAATCATGGGGCTGTCCTTCTGTCCTTTTCTGTCCTCTTTTGCATTTAATCCAAAATTTATCTGTATAATCTAAGGGCTTTCTGCCCGTAATCTGAGGTATTCTGCCTGCAACAGGGTAAATTTAAGGTTAAACCTTTTTTTTTGGTCTGAGATGGAACAGCTCTGAAAATGAATGCCCTGCCTGGGACTGGCATTCTTAGGAGGATTATCCATGGGAGGAACTGGGGGGAATTCCTAAGCAGGAATTGTTCCCCGGCAGGGTGGGAAGGAGGGCCTGGCACAGGGTGCCCCTGGATCCCTGGCAGTGTCCCAGGGCAGGCTGGACGGGGCTTGGAGCAGCCTGGCACAGTGGGAGATGTCCCTGCCATGGCAGGGGTGGGATGGGATGAGTTTTAATGTCCCTTTCCATCCAAACCGTCCTGTAACTCTGTGATTCTCTGAGAGAAACTCCCGCCAGTTCCAGACCAGAGTTCCAGCAGGACTGACAAGAGCCCCAGCAGAGCATTCCTGGTGTCCCTCCAGCCAGCAGGGACAGGCACAGGTGGCACAGGCAGGGCAGCAAAGCTCAGCCTGGCCCTGCTGCTGCTCCCATGGCAGGCTCTCAGGCCGGGCCATGACGTCTGCACAGCTGTGCACATTTTGTTTGTGCTCCCAGGGCTGGGGCTTGTTTTGTTCACCAAATAGCTCTGTGGGGTGGGGGCCCTGCCAGATGTTCCACACAGAGCTGCAGGGACGCTCCTGCCCTCGGAATTTCGGCGTGGGACCGTTCCTTTGTCCGCTCTGGGCCACGGGGAATTGCTGTCCAGTTTGGTCAGAGCTCCAAAGGAAAGCAGAGCTGCCAAAAGTGCAGAGCCACGAGCCGGCAGCCCTGCAGGGATTGGTGTGCAGGGGCTGTGGAGCTGGCTGGGCTGTCAGCAGGCAGGACACGAGCAGCTGGGGGGACAGGGACAAATCCCTGACAGAACTGAGCCTGTGCCCTGCTCCAGGAGGCCAAAGAGGGCAGGAGGAACTTGGGGAATTGTTGGGGTGTTGGAAGTGTTCATCCCACCTAGCAGTGATCATGGAATCATGGAATGGGCTGGGTTAAAAGGGACTTTAAAGCCCATCCAGTGCCACCCCTGCCATGGGCAGGGACACAGGGACACCTCCCAGTGTCCCAGGGTGCTCCAGCCTGGCCTTGGGCACTGCCAGGGATCCGGGGCAGCCACAGCTGCTCTGGCAATCCCAGCCCAGCCAGGAATTCCCAGTTCCCAATGTCCCATCCATCCCTGCCCTCTGGCACTGGGAGCCATTCCCTGGCTCCTGTCCCTCCATCCCTTGTCCCCAGTCCCTCTCAGCTCTCCTGGAGCCCCTTCAGGCCCTGCCAGGGGCTCTGAGCTCTGCCTGGAGCCTTCCCTTCTCCAGGGGAACATTCCCAGCTCTCCCAGGCTGGCTCCAGAGGGGCTCCAGCCCTGCAGCAGCTCCTGGTTCTCCAGCAGTTCCAAGTCTTTCTTGTGTTGCAGCCCCTGAGCTCTCCAGGAGCTGAGCTGGGAAGTTCTGGGCTTGTGGACACTGTACAGACTCAGGGGATCAATGGGATTAATCCATTTTATTGCTCCTAATTCCTGTGCCCTGAATCCCCTGACACAGCACCTCCCTCTCCCCAGCTCTAAACGGGGATAAATCCTAAATTCAGGCAGGAATTCCCAGTTTGGTGAGCCCCCCTGGCAGGGAGCTGGCAAAGCCCAAATGGCCACTGGATCAAAGCAGGAGTGGTGTTATCCCAAAGGGAATGTGGAGCAGCAGGAACAGCAGCAGTACAACAGCAGGGCTGTGATCACGAGCTGGTTTTTGTTTGAGACACGCTTGCAAGGGGTTTTTGAAGAAGAAAGGATGAATGTGTCAGTGTGATGTGCAAGTACAGCTGTAAAGCTGGAGAGAGCCAGAAATCCCAAAAGCCTCTCACATAAAACACAGCTCTGGCCCCAAACCCACTGAAGGCAATGAAAGCTTTTCCTGTGAATTCAGTGAGGTTTGGATCACGCCTCTTGCTTCCAAAATATCTCCTTCCAAAATCTGGGTGTCTAGGTTTGAAAAGCCAGGTGTCTGCTAAGGAAGGCAGGAGCCTCCCCTGAAATGGGAAATGTAAACCCCCTCTCTCTGAATTATTGTAATTTTGAAATTAAGGGGGGCTCTCAGTCAATGATATGGGAATAGGAATACCAGCTCTTTACTAGGAAAATTAAAAATACAAATATAATAGTACAAATGAAAACAAAACATTGACAGAGTCAGACCATGCCCTGTCCCCTGTGTGTCAGGGCGGTGTCCCAGCCCCATCCCATGGGGGCTCAGCCCTCCTGCAGTGCCAGCTGTGGCTCTGCTGCAGCAGGGATCCTGCACAAGGGGGGAGTTTTCCTCTGCAGCTCCAGGGCTGCTGCAGATGGGCCTGGGCTCCTCTGGGAATGCAGGGAGCAGAAAGCTGCTCCTGTGGGAATGCAGGGCAGCACAAAGCTGCTCCTCTGGGAATGCAGGGCAGCACAAAGCTGCTCCTGTGGGAATGCAGGGGGCACAAAGCTGCTCCTCTGGGAATGCAGGGCAGCACAAAGCTGCTCCTCTGGGAATGCAGGGGGCACAAAGCTGCTCCTCTGGGAATGCAGGGCAGCACAAAGCTGCTCCTCTGGGAATGCAGGGCAGCACAAAGCTGCTCCTCTGGCAATGCAGGGGGCACAAAGCTGCTCCTCTGGGGATGCAGGGCAGCACAAAGCTGCTCCTCTGGGAATGCAGGGAGCACAAAGCTGCTCCTCTGGCGATGCAGGGGGCACAAAGCTGCTCCTCTGGGAATGCAGGGCAGCACAAAGCTGCTCCTCTGGCAATGCAGGGGGCACAAAGCTGCTCCTCTGGCAATGCAGGGCAGCACAAAGCTGCTCCTCTGGCAATGCAGGGGGCACAAAGCTGCTCCTGTGGGAATGCAGGGCAGCACAAAGCTGCTCCTCTGGGAATGCAGGGCAGCACAAAGCTGCTCCTGTGGGAATGCAGGGCAGCACAAAGCTGCTCCTCTGGCAATGCAGGGGGCACAAAGCTGCTCCTCTGGGAATGCAGGGCAGCACAAAGCTGCTCCTCTGGGAATGCAGGGCAGCACAAAGCTGCTCCTCTGGGAATGCAGGGGGCACAAAGCTGCTCCTCTGGGAATGCAGGGCAGCACAAAGCTGCTCCTCTGCAATGCAGGGCAGCACAAAGCTGCTCCTCTGGCAATGCAGGGCAGCACAAAGCTGCTCCTCTGGGAATGCAGGGCAGCACAAAGCTGCTCCTCTGCAATGCAGGGCAGCACAAAGCTGCTCCTCTGGCAATGCAGGGCAGCACAAAGCTGCTCCTCTGGGAATGCAGGGCAGCACAAAGCTGCTCCTCTGGGAATGCAGGGCAGCACAAAGCTGCTCCTCTGGGGATGCAGGGCAGCACAAAGCTGCTCCTCTGGGAATGCAGGGAGCACAAAGCTGCTCCTCTGCAATGCAGGGCAGCACAAAGCTGCTCCTCTGGGAATGCAGGGCAGCACAAAGCTGCTCCTCTGGCAATGCAGGGGGCAGAGGCTGCTGTGCTGTCCCAAAGCTCAGATTGTATCCAGGTAGGAATGCTTGGCTCCTCCCCTGGGCAGAGCATCTCCCCATGGGATGATGGAATTGGATCAGCCATGCAGGGACACTCACTGGCCATGGACAGAAGATAATTAATAATTAATGGCCCATGGACAGAAGATAATTAATAATTAATGGCCCATGAACAGAAGAGATCTCCTGAGGGAGGATTGGCTGTAGGAGAGATAAAGAAAAACTGCCCAATGGACAGCAGAGAACTGCTCCACCTCTGACAGATGGTGATAGGATTCACCAAGTCATTAGTTACATCAAATAGCTCATTATATTCAATGGACAAAGCAATAACTAATTGTGTTTTATTGGTACAAAATTAATGTCAATAATTAATTGGCAGGAATTAGTAACAAATTTTTAAGGCACAAATGCTGCTCACTAAGGCTGCAAATATCCCTTATGTATCTATTTTATCAGTTTCCCTGCTAACAGCCTTGCTTTCTTCCTTGCTGTAGATAAATTAATATTTTATCAATTTCTTCTTCTGCTAATTCAGTTGTTTAACCTGCAGAGCAGCTGCTAAGCCCATCCACAAGAATCCTTGTCACTCTGGATGTCCCTGTGTGATTCCCTAGACACCTCCAGCTCCAAGTGCCTGAAGATTCAAACCACGGCCAGAATTAAAACACCAACTCTCCCTGCTTTTACCTCCCCCTTAGGAAAAGAGTGTGGTGGAGTCTTCACAGATTCCAAATATGTTTTCAAGTCGCCGGGCTACCCGAACGAGTACGAGAACAACCAGGTGTGCTACTGGCACATCCGGGTCAGGTACGGGCAGAGGATCCACCTGCAGTTCCTGGAGTTCGACGTGGAGGATGACATTGCCTGCCAGGGTGACTTCCTGGAGGTCTACGACAGCTACGACGATGTCAATGGATTTGTGGGCAGGTAAAGCACATTTGATATGCAGATTTATGGTAAATTTGTACCCCCCTTCAGAAGAATGCTGTTTATTAATTATAAATTTTAACATTTACATGATAAATGTAAAACATATAACATATAAAATATCATATCTCATATCTCATATCTCAATCTCATGCATTATATATTATATATTATATATAATATATAATATATAATATATATCATATATTATATATTATATATTATATATTATATATTATATAGTATATAGTATATAGTATATAGTATATAGTATATAGTATATATTATATATATTGTCTGTCACATTTATGGTATAAAGTATATAGTATATTGTATACTATAGTATGTATGTCATATACTATATAATATATAGTATATTATAGTATACTATATATTATATATAGTATATACTATATATACTGTATATTACAATATACAACAATTATTAATGCTATATTAGTAGTATTATATAATTATTATATTATTATTACTATATTATTAATAATAATATATAAAATATAATAATATCATATACTATATATTATAGTACATATTATATAGTATAATAAATATACTATATATAGTATTTATATAATCTATACTATATATTACAATATACAATAATTATTAATGCTATATCTATAGCATTATATTATTATCACTATATTATTAATGATACAATATATTATAGAATACTATACATTATATATACTATATACTATATACTATATACGATATACTATATACTATAATATATAATATATCATATATTATATATTATATATTATATATCATAGATTACGTATTATATTGTATATATACTATAGTACATGATATACTATATATGATATATACTATAGTATATTACATACTTTAATCATCAGCATTTCCTATTTTCCCAGATTTTGTGGAGATGAGTTGCCAGATGACATCATTAGCACAGGTAAATTATTTGCACTCTTTGTGGGAATTGAGAAAAACGTAAAACCCAAAATATATGTGACAAAAAGTAAATGCCCAAAATATATCTGGGAAAAAAAACCCTGAAATTAATTAAATTTTTTTAAATAGTTTAAAAAATAATTAATTAAATAAAGAAAATTAAAACTGCCCAAAATATTTCTGAAAAAAGCAAAATAAATGTGAAAACAATTTAAAACCCCCAAAATGCATGTGAAACCCCCCATTTTTCTGCTCCCAAGCCCATAAAATTTGATTTTTCCTGCGCAGGGAACGTGATGACGCTGAAGTTCCTGACGGACGGCTCAGTGACTGCAGGGGGGTTCCAGATCCGCTATTCCGCCCTGGACACGCCTGCCCCAGCCAAAAATGCCTCAGCACAGGGCAAAAACACCTTCCAGGCTGGGAAATTTGGGATTATGTGAGCAGAACTCCAGGCACAGAAAGGGGCTCTGGACTGAACACTGAAAAAAAATTCAGATTTTTTCTGACTTTTTTTTCATCTGAGATTTTTTCATTTCTCTTTCTGAATTTTTCTCCTTGCCTTTTCTATGTTTTGTAATAAACTACACTAGGGAATAAATTATAAAATATACTTACATGGATAATAGAGAATTATTTTTAGAATACAAGTACTGTAAAAATCAAAGAATTCATTGCTACCAAAGACTTTAAATTTATTTTTTTCTATATAAACTGCTCCTTTTCCTCATTTCTGGCACCACTTGAACAAACTTTTTGTGTGTCTGTCCTGATTATTTTAAAACTTAACAGGCTCTTCTCTCCTTATTTCCCTTGATTCCCACATATTTATTTTTTAGACTGTTGCTTTTTTTTCCCTGTTCTCTACACATTATTATTTTTTTTAATTAACTGGTCTTCTTGAACTGGAAGGGCCTTCAGTGTAAGGTTATTTTTAAGACAAAAATTCATCTTGTGGATGGCCTGGCAGCCACCAGGTGAAGATTGGGAAGCAGCACAGAGAGCACAGGATCAGCTGGATCCACACTTCCATTTTCCTGTCACATCCATGGGTTCTGTCAGGGTTTCCTCATCCAGAGAATGAAGTCCTTCCAAAAGAATTAAAGGAATGACTTGGTAAAGAGAATAAAAGTGCTGAGAGGAAGCAGCAGGAGGAACTTCTCACCAAGCACGTTCAGAAGACACCACCGAGGTGCTGGACCTTGTTTACATGGGTTTGAGACCGTTCTAGTTTAAAGTACTGGATTTAAAATAATTTCAGAGTGTTCTAGTTTAAATTACTGAATTTAAAATCCTTTAAGACTGTCCTAGTTGAAATTATTGAATTTAAAATCCTTTAAGACTGTTCTAGTTTAAATTATTGAACTTAAAATCCTTTCAGACTGTTCTAGTTGAAATGGCTGAATTTAAAATCCATTCAGACTGTTCTATGAATTTAAAATCCTTTCAGACTGTTCTAGTTTAAATTACTGGATTTAAAATACTTTCAGACTGTTCTAGTTTAAATTGCTGAGTTTAAAATCCTTTCAGACTGTTCTATGAATTTAAAATCCTTTTAGACTGTTCTAGTTGAAATGGCTGAATTTAAAATCCATTCAGACTGTTCTATGAATTTAAAATCCTTTCAGACTGTTCTAGTTTAAATTGCTGAGTTTAAAATCCTTTAAGACTGTTCTAGTTGAAATTGTTGAACTTAAAATCCTTTAAGACTTCGAGTTGAAATTGCTGAATTTAATTCCTTTCAGACTGTTCTAGTTGGAATTGCTGAATTTGAATCCTTTAAGACTGCTCTATGAATTTAAAATCCTTTCAGACTGTTGTAGTTGAAATTGCTGAATTTAAATATTTTAAGACTGTTCTAGTTGAAATTGCTGATTTTAAATCCTTCTCCAAATGTTTTTACCTGAAGCAGCATTAAAGCTACCTCTGGTCTAATCCCACCAAGTTTGCAGTGAGTTATTTTTGTTTCTTGCAAATGTAATTAATTTTATTAATTTAAAGAATAAATTTTGTTTCTGAGTGTTTTCTTGACGCCAGCTCTGCTGAAATCTGATGCCCACTAAGAATTTTCCTGTGAATTCCATTTTGTTTGCAGCATTTTTATTCCTCATCACCTGAATTCATCAGGAATGGTTTTGTGTTGGAACGTGAAATGCAGGAACTCTCAGAACTTTGGGCCAAAGGTTAGAATTCAAACCAGGATTTGGTGTGAGACCTTGGAAAAGGCTCCCAAACTCAGGTGCTAGAAGTGAGAATGTGGATTTATAGTTTAAAGCAAAGACATAATAAGGTAGGAAGAGGAAAGTTCAGAGTTTTAGAGTTTAAGATATAGAAAAAACAAAAGTAGTTCCAGAGGTGAACAAGGAGTTCAGGATGCAGCACTGTGGGTTTGTGTGCCATAACGTGATGGCTAAGAAAGCTCGCACATGAGTCCATAAGATGAAATATTTAAAGATTAGGTCAAAACCATAAATATCCTTTTTGGCAGTGCTTTATTGGTCAATAGATCCTTTAAAAGTCTTGTGACTGAGGGTCTTGGGACTTTCTGGGCCATGCAATGAAGCTGTGAACCAAATTCACCATTCCTGCCTGTGTAGAAGAAAAATAAACCACAGAATCTAAAAACCTCAGCGCTCCCATCTCTGACTCACTTGGAATTCCTTCCCCAATCCCCATAGTTTTGCACAAGGAAGATCTTAAGCTAATTAGCCCCATTTTTGCTTTATTTCTTCTAATTTATTTCATTTCTGAGCTTCTATTGTCATTTCACTGGGAATATAATTTCGCAGTACTGAAGAACATTGCAGCTGCTCTCCCGGTTACTTCCAACACGTTATTCGTGCTCCACGAAACGAGTTTGGTATCACCACATTTCTGGGATGTAACTATTTAAAATGTGCTTTTTAATCCTGCCACCTTGTGTTCACAGCGCCCGCTGTACCACAGAATTCCCATTTTCCAGGATCAGCCACAGCGCTCGTCCATAGGGAAGAGAATAAGGAAAGCACGGGGAGAATGAGAATGTCAATATTTTATTTATGACCTCGGCGCGGGGTTTTTGTTGTTGTTTCTTTAACTGGGAAGAGAGAGGTGTTGGATGGACAGGGATGAGAATCAGGGAACACTTGGAATCCTCAAGGGATAATTTTTGGGGGAAGAAACCCAGGAGATCCAGTCCCGCTGGGCATGTCTGGTGGCACAGGGAAGCCCTGGAGGTGACCCAGCCTCAGCCATGGCCCGGAGCTCCAGGGCTTTCCAATTTGGGGTTCGGGATTTCCCATTTCACCCCAGAGAACTCAAGGAATTCCGACTTGTGCCCCCACGGAGCTGGAGCTCATTCCCAGTCATTAATTCGGGATTTGACCTCACGTGCTTCCTCCCGCGGGTCACCTCCGGCCTCGTGACCGGGGACGGGAGCCCGGGAACGGCCGGGGCGTGTTTTGGTGGGAAATTAGGGACAGGCTCTCCCAGCACAGCGTGGGCTGGCCCTGACCAGGCTCTCCGCGGAATGCTCACGGCCCCGAGGCCGCCGGAGCTCCGGGAGCGTTTGGACAGCGCTCTCAGGGTGGATTATCGGGCAGGGCCGGGAGGGGGCCATGGATGATCGCCCTTTTCCGCCGCTATTCTCAGATCCCGGCACCCACGGGCCGCGCCGCCCGCTCCGCCCTCAGCGCCGGGCCGGGCCCGCCCCCCGGGCCGCCCCGCCCTTCCCCCGCGCCTCCTCCAATCAGCGGCGAGGGGCGGGGCTGCCGCGGGGCGCGGGAACCTCCGGGCCGCGCTCCCATTGGCCGCAGCCCGCGCGCCGCCGGGCCCGCGCGCGCCGCCATCTTAACGCGGGAGGCGCGCGGCGCTGAGGGGCGGCCGCGCCGGGGGGAGGCGGCGCGGTGGTGGCGGTGTCGCCATGAGCGCTCCCGGCCCCCATCCCGAGCCCGCCGCGCCCGGCCCCGAGCCCCAACCCGCCGCTCCCCAGCCCGCCGCCGGCTCCAGCCTCGGCCCGCTGCTCCGCACGCTGGAGGACCCCGGCGCGCCGCCGGGAGAGCTGACGGACGCGCACCTCACCATCGTCAGGTGGGCGCGGGGGACGCGCACGCTGCCCGAGCGGAGCGGGCGGCCCTGAGGGATCGGGGCGGGCGTGCGGAGCGGGAGAGCCGGGAGGGCCGTCGGAGCGGGACCTGCCGGCATGGCTGGGGCAGCGTGGCCGAGGGGGGACATGCGGGGCTGGGGGGAGGGAGAGGAGGAGGAGGAGGAGCAGGGAAGGGAGAGAGGGAGGAGTGAGGGGAGGAAGAGGAGGAGGAAGGAGCGCATCTCCACAGGATCTGCGCATCCCAGAGCCTCGCTGCCCCTTGGATTCCTGGGGGATCGTCAGAGTTACGTTAGGAAATAATAACTTTATTGGAACGATAAAGCTTTGCAGCTTTATGACTGGAAGGATGAAGTTTTTAGTTAGCATTTGCCGCGTTTTCATTGCATTTTTTTTTGGAAGTTGCATCTTGCGCATGAGGTTGTGCCTTTACCCGCATCTGCCCGGTTTTGCCATGTGCAAAGGCACGATCCCTTTCTCTCAGTGTTTTCCTTCGGTCCTGCAGTGAATTTATGACTGTAAGGATGAAGTTTTTAGTTAGCAATTGCCATGTTTTCATTGCATTTCTTTCTGGAAGTTGCATCTTGCCATGTGTTTGTGCCTTTACCCGCATCTGGCCGCTTTTACCATGTGCAAAGGCACGACCCCTTTCTCTCAGTGTCTCCCTCCGGTCCTGCGGTGAATTTAAAACTGTAGCTACTCACATAGCAGATTTTACAGGTTTCTAGAAATAACTGACAGCAAAAAAACCCTCCCGATGTAAATATTAAACATCAACAGGTTTCTCAGGCTGTCCCTGGCTGACTGAACTCAGCACGCTTTGGGATTTGCAGTGAGAAGCTGATGATTAACGTTTTATGGGATAATTGCAGCTTTTCTCCAAGAATGTTCCTCACATATGAGCAAAGTCATCCTTGCTGCTGGTCAGACCAGGATTTTCCTGCATTCTGGGACTGCTCGTGAGGAAGATGCTTTTTCAGCTCCTGTACTTCTGTTTTTTTCTAATTTGCAGCAAGTCATTTAAAGTTTGCATGCTAAATTTTAACGTTGTTATAGGAGCTGGCCAACAAAATGAAAGCCCTTAATGTTTTTATGAGTGTTCTTTAGGCAGAAAAGGAGACATTACTCACTTTATGCTATAACATAGGATTTTGCTGCTGGGTCAGACCTTGTGCTGGCATTTCTGCTCCTTAGCTCTTTCAGTGTTTTGTTGGTTCCCTTCAAGAAAATATGCTGCTGTGTGTCAGAAGATAAAAGTTGAGTCAGTTACGAAGTATTTAACGTGAAAATATTGTTTGTTTTCCCTCCTCGTTGCAGTCGCTTGAGTGGTGAAGGAGGCAAAGCATTCACTGCAGACTTCAGGAAACACTTCCCTCAACTCTGCAAGGTGTTCAAGGTATGGTTTTTACACTCAGTTCTCTTCCACTTCAGTGAACAAAGATATATTTTGGTGAGCAAGGTCAGTGGGCAGAGAAAGACTCAAATTTCAGTTCATTTATAGAGTCACAATCATTAAGGTTGGAAAAAACCTCTGAGTCACGGAGTCCAACCTTTAATAGGAATGCAGAGCAGGAAAGGGTTTTTTTGGCATAATAGATCATTCTTGTGATGAAGAATTACTGCATTAAAAACCAAAATGCTGGGGCTTGGATGTGGTCAGGCAGCATCCCACAGTCAAATCTAATCTTCCAGCCAGGAGGGACAGTGTGTCCTGAGTGCCTTAGAAACATTTCAGAATTCAGAATATGCAGAAAATGTCAAGGCTTTTTAAGCAGTAATGTCCAGGTTGTTCTTAGCCATTTTTCCCTTCTGTCTCAGAAGCCTAAAAACAATTGGAGAGTCAGGTGTGGGAATACAACATAGAGAGCCAAAGTGAAAACCTTGGGATGTTTGGGATTTATTTCATTAAAGATGCTTTTATTACAGAGAGCAAAAATGCCTTCAGCCCCTCAGATTGTTTTACTGATTTGGTGTGTCCAGAATTCAGGGAGGGTTTCCTGCCTGGGTGGGTTTTTCACCAAGTGTGTGTTTTTCCCAGCTTCCCAGCATTGTTGGTATTCAGACAATAAACTCAAGATTTCTGTTACTTTTCTAACCTGACATTCTGTGGATTTGGGTTTTTTTATTGTTTTTCTCCAGGCCCACATTTCCAGTCCAAACTTGGAGCTCAGTAATGCAGCATTGCAGGCCTTGGGCTTCTGCACTTTTAATTCCAACAACACAGCTGAATTATCTGGTGAGCAAACAAACTGTGACTATAAATATATCACCAGAGCTCTTTCTTTATGTTTTTCTTAGCATTTGTTTTCATTTTGGCCAGGATTTGTTTATAATATGAACAGTGTGATGAGTTTATTAATTACATCTTGTACATAAGTGTGGTGATGATTTTTCATGCTGTTACACCGATTCTGTTTTACAAACTTCTGGTTTCATTAAATGCTTTGGTAGCAATTAGTACAGTAATTAGTTGTGTGGAATTAGTGATCAAAAAAATATATTCTTATGGGAAAAGAGTGAAGAACCTGTTTGTAGGATCTGGGAGTGCACAGTAGAGCTTTTCCAGCTTTTTCTTGGAGATTTCTGTGTTCCATCAAATCATGGACTGGTTTGAGTTGGAAGAGACCCTTAAAGGTCATCTAGTCCAGCCCCAGCTATGTCAAATTAATCCAAAATCTTATAATGTGCATTCCTAGAAAGTGCTAAATCCCCTTCACAAAAGGTTTTGCTTTTGAGAACTTGAGGCTTTGCCTCAAGGCAAAACCACAGGTTTTTGGTACCAGGGGAGAGGGCATTTCTCCTGTTTGAAATTGGTTCTTTTAGTTCTTCTACTCCACTTTTTCAGTGCCTTCTGCTTTCCTATAATGCAAAATTCCCCCTGATTTCCTGTGAGAACGAGGCATTTCTAAAAATGTCTGTGTGCTATCTTTCTTTGCTCTCATTTTTTCTAGCCAGCTGATAAATAACAATTTTATTACAGAATGTCAGGCTCCAGAAGTCACAAAGCCCTGGAAACAATGGGGAGTTGGGAAGGGAGGGAGGACAAGCAGCTCCTGTACCTCTGAGTGTACTTTTGGCTGGGGAGAGGAGTGAGAGTGTCCTTCCATTCCTCTGACTGTGGGGGCAGTCACCCACAGAGTGCACATTTGCCAAAAATCTGACTTTTTACCCTTGAATTTTAAAGGAACACGTTTCTCCATCTGTGTTCTTAGTTGGATCTAAGTCCTGTATTAACTTTATTAATTTTTATGTAATGAGCTACAATTTTACCACAATTTTACTACAATTTTGTTACTTCAGTAACAAAAAGCTCTTCTAGGCTCTAAAATAAATTTATGTCAAGTTATGACCAAAGTGCTGCTAAATTCACTTAAAATCCAAGAGGTTTTGAATAATTAAATATTCATCTTTAGCTCAGGTGTATTTAACTAAAACTGGCTTCTAATTTTATAGATTCTTATAACGGTAATACAGATGCAATGCATGTATTAAATTTATTATTATTTTATTTTTTCTATTTTTCTATTTTTTATATGAAATACTTTTATATATCCACATACAAATTTTTATATTTTTTTACATTATATATTTTTATATTTCTATATTATTTTATTATATTCTATATAGCTATATTATATCAATATCGATATTATATATATGAATATACATTTAATATTTTTATTATATTATATTATACTATAATAAATTATATTATAATATATTATATTACTATGTATTATATTACTATGTATTATATTACTATGTATTATATTACTGCATATTATATTACTGTATATTATATTACTGTATATTATATTATTGTATATTATATTATTATATATCATTGTATATTATAGTATATTATATGCATATTATATATAATTTATATGTATATAATATATTATATATTATATATGATGTACATAATATAGAATATATTATATATAATGCATGTTATATATAATATGTAATATAGTATTATATATAATGTATATTATATATAATATGTAAAATAATATTATATTATGTATTACATATAATATGATATAATGTTTATATAATATTATATTATGTTATGTTATATATATAGTATATTCTATATACATATACATTATACATATTATATATAACATATAATATATTATATTGGTAATAAAATGAAAATAATTTTATTATAATTAATATAATCGAATATTATTATAATGTTAATATATATTAATATTGTAATATTTTAATATTAATAGGTGATAGTTGTGTATTGATTTTTATATTATTAATGCTAATAATATTTCCAGCTTTCTGGCTACTTTAGTAGGAGAGGAGCTGCTCCAAAGTGATGTTTAAGGCAGTAAATCACTGGGACTTGCAGCTGAATGGGTTGTGGGCACATTGAAGTGAGCAGAATGACCTGGAACGGGTTGCAGTGGCTGTGAGGGTTTGGTGTGTGCTCTGTTCAGGCACTGTGAGGGTTTGGTGTTTGCTCTGTTCGGGCACTGTCAGGGTTTGGTGTGTGCTCTGTGCAGGCACTGTCAGGGTTTGGTGTGTGCTCTGTCTCAGGCACTGTGAGGGTTTGGTGTGTGCTCTGTGCAGGCACTGTGAGGGTTTGGTGTGTGCTCTGTTCAGGCACTGTGAGGGTTTGGTGTGTGCTCTGTTCAGGCACTGTCAGGGTTTGGTGTGTGCTCTGTTCAGGCACTGTGAGGGTTTGGTGTGTGCTCTGTGCAGGCACTGTGAGGGTTTGGTGTGTGCTCTGTGCAGGCACTGTCAGGGTTTGGTGTGTGCTCTGTTCAGGCACTGTCAGGGTTTGGTGTGTGCTCTGTTCAGGCACTGTGAGGGTTTGGTGTGTGCTCTGTGCAGGCACTGTCAGGGTTTGGTGTGTGCTCTGTGCAGGCACTGTGAGGGTTTGGTGTGTGCTCTGTTCAGGCACTGTCAGGGTTTGGTGTGTGCTCTGTGCAGGCACTGTGAGGGTTTGGTGTGTGCTCTGTCTCAGGCACTGTGAGGGTTTGGTGTGTGCTCTGTCTCAGGCACTGTGAGGGTTTGGTGTGTGCTCTGTTCAGGCACTGTGAGGGTTTGGTGTGTGCTCTGTGCAGGCACTGTCAGGGTTTGGTGTGTGCTCTGTGCAGGCACTGTCAGGGTTTGGTGTGTGCTCTGTGCAGGCACTGTCAGGGTTTGGTGTGTGCTCTGTTCAGGCACTGTGAGGGTTTGGTGTGTGCTCTGTTCAGGCACTGTGAGGGTTTGGTGTGTGCTCTGTTCAGGCACTGTCAGGGTTTGATGTGTGCTCTGTGCAGGCAATGTCAGGGTTTGGTGTGTGCTCTGTTCAGGCACTGTCAGGGTTTGGTGTGTGCTCTGTGCAGGCACTGTCAAGGTTTGGTGTGTGCTCTGTTCAGGCACTGTGAGGGTTTGGTGTGTGCTCTGTTCGGGCACTGTCAGGGTTTGGTGTGTGCTCTGTTCAGGCACTGTGAGGGTTTGGTGTGTGCTCTGTTCAGGCACTGTGAGGGTTTGGTGTGTGCTCTGTTCAGGCACTGTCAGGGTTTGGTGTGTGCTCTGTTCAGGCACTGTCAGGGTTTGGTGTGTGCTCTGTGCAGGCACTGTCAGGGTTTGGTGTGTGCTCTGTGCAGGCACTGTGAGGGTTTGGTGTGTGCTCTGTGCAGGCACTGTGAGGGTTTGGTGTGTGCTCTGTGCAGGCACTGTCAGGGTTTGGTGTGTGCTCTGTGCAGGCACTGTGAGGGTTTGGTGTGTGCTCTGTTCAGGCACTGTCAGGGTTTGGTGTGTGCTCTGTTCAGGCACTGTCAGGGTTTGGTGTGTGCTCTGTCTCAGGCACTGTCAGGGTTTGGTGTGTGCTCTGTTCAGGCACTGTCAGGGTTTGGTGTGTGCTCTGTTCAGGCACTGTCAGGGTTTGGTGTGTGCTCTGTGCAGGCACTGTGAGGGTTTGGTGTGTGCTCTGTTCAGGCACTGTGAGGGTTTAGTGTGTGCTCTGTTCAGGCACTGTGAGGGTTTGGTGTGTGCTCTGTTCAGGCACTGTGAGGGTTTGGTGTGTGCTCTGTTCAGGCACTGTGAGGGTTTGGTGTGTGCTCTGTGCAGGCACTGTGAGGGTTTGGTGTGTGCTCTGTGCAGGCACTGTCAGGGTTTGGTGTGTGCTCTGTTCAGGCACTGTCAGGGTTTGGTGTGTGCTCTGTTCAGGCACTGTGAGGGTTTGGTGTGTGCTCTGTTCAGGCACTGTGAGGGTTTGGTGTGTGCTCTGTGCAGGCACTGTCAGGGTTGGGTGTGTGCTCTGTTCAGGCACTGTCAGGGTTTGGTGTGTGCTCTGTTCAGGCACTCTGAGGGTTTGGTGTGTGCTCTGTGCAGGCACTGTCAGGGTTTGGTGTGTGCTCTGTCTCAGGCACTGTCAGGGTTTGGTGTGTGCTCTGTGCAGGCACTGTCAGGGTTTGGTGTGTGCTCTGTCTCAGGCACTGTCAGGGTTTGGTGTGTGCTCTGTTCGGGCACTGTGAGGGTTTGGTGTGTGCTCTGTTCAGGCACTGTGAGGGTTTGGTGTGTGCTCTGTGCAGGCACTGTGAGGGTTTGGTGTGTGCTCTGTCTCAGGCACTGTGAGGGTTTGGTGTGTGCTCTGTGCAGGCACTGTCAGGGTTTGGTGTGTGCTCTGTTCAGGCACTGTCAGGGTTTGGTGTGTGCTCTGTTCAGGCACTGTGAGGGTTTGGTGTGTGTGCTCTGTTCAGGCACTGTGAGGGTTTGGTGTGTGCTCTGTGCAGGCACTGTCAGGGTTTGGTGTGTGCTCTGTTCAGGCACTGTCAGGGTTTGGTGTGTGCTCTGTTCAGGCACTGTGAGGGTTTGGTGTGTGCTCTGTGCAGGCACTGTGAGGGTTTGGTGTGTGCTCTGTCTCAGGCACTGTCAGGGTTTGGTGTGTGCTCTGTTCAGGCACTGTGAGGGTTTGGTGTGTGCTCTGTCTCAGGCACTGTGAGGGTTTGGTGTGTGCTCTGTTCAGGCACTGTCAGGGTTTGGTGTGTGCTCTGTGCAGGCACTGTCAGGGTTTGGTGTGTGCTCTGTTCAGGCACTGTGAGGGTTTGGTGTGTGCTCTGTTCAGGCAGTGTGAGGGTTTGGTGTGTGCTCTGTTCAGGCACTGTCAGGGTTTGGTGTGTGCTCTGTTCAGGCACTGTGAGGGTTTGGTGTGTGCTCTGTTCAGGCACTGTGAGGGTTTGTGTGTGTGCTCTGTGCAGGCACTGTCAGGGTTTGGTGTGTGCTCTGTTCAGGCACTGTGAGGGTTTGGTGTGTGCTCTGTGCAGGCACTGTGAGGGTTTGTGTGTGTGCTCTGTTCAGGCACCGACGTGCAGGAGCTGCTGGCAGCAGTGAACAGCGTGGCTGTGAAATGCTCTGACAAGAACACTCGCACTCGGGCACTTTGGGTCATCTCCAAGCAGGCATTTCCTCCTGAAATTGTTAGGAAGGAGGTAAGTTTTACACTGTTCTTCTGGTGGTCTCATTTCTCACAGAGAGGAGCCTTCAGAAGTTGTTTAAAAGAAGATGAGTTTCTTCATTTCTCCTTTTGGTGCTGCCCTTTCTTAGAGAGAGGAGGCAAATTATTTCTCACTCTCCACTCAGTAGCTTTTGAATCCAAAGGTTGTTTCCCATCAAATCTGACACCCAAGTATCAATTCTTGGAAAACCTGAGCCACAAATGACTGCTCTCCTTGAGGGGAAAGCTGCAATGTGAGCAGTTCTATCAGAAAGCAATGAAATATCACAGGGCAGAAAATTATGAATATTCCAGTTTAAAATGACACCTGGCATAATCCAAACGGAATCCTGGAAAATGAAATGTCCCGATTCCAGCTCCTCCTGGAATGATTTGTGTCCAGGTGCTCACTGTGCTGTTCCCTTGTTCCCTCAGGTGTCCAATATTCTCTCTACCCTGGAAACAATCCTGACTAAAGGAGAAGTTCAGTCTGTTGTGGTTGAGTATGAAGCACTTAATGTCATTATCCGGTGAGTGCTCTGCAATATTCCACTGGCAGCATTCATTTCAGGGGGGAAGCTTTTTATACAAAACCCAGGTGGCACTAAATGCTCTAAAGGAAAAACTCCTAAGTTTTTATTGTGTTTAGGTTTGTTTGTCTCCTGGTTTTCACTGGGCTGGAGGTGGTTGCTGGGTGCTGTGGGTGGATTTGGGATGGGAATGGTGCTGATAACACCGGGGCTGTTGGAGTTAGTGCTGAGCAGAGTTTGCTCTGAGTCAAGGACAAGGGGACACAGCTGGCACTGCTGGCCAGGGGATATTCCATGGAATTGTGCCCAGGGTGAGCTGGGGAGCTGCTGGGCTGTGCACCACTTGTTTGGTGTATTATGATAATTAAAATATTGCCTTAATTATAACATCATCATCCTGAGGCAGAAATTAGAAATACTGCTTTCATTTTTAGTGGCTCTGTGGGAATGACTTCCCACCTCTCACCTGTGCTTTCCAAGTCATGTTCTTCATATTGTATCCAGAACCTGCCTGCTTGAGAAATAGAAATTCTCTGCCATTATTTGGGGGTTTATTTAAAAATATCTTATTTAGAAATAACCCCTTGGCAACACATTTTAGTGCAATGTTTCCCATCACACTGTTGAAATTCCTGTCTATTCAATTCCTGTTGAAATTCCAAAAGTGACTTTTTAGGACCATCACTGTGAGCACGTTGTTCTGGTCAGCAGAACTGAAATATTCAAATTTTACCTTTATTTAGTGCTAATTTAATTTCTGTATTAGTAAATACATAGAGCTTCTATATTTACTCATTTTTAAGTTTTTTCTTTAACTTCTGGCATTGGATTTGAGCTGCAAATCCATTTTAAATAGTTCTTTTAAACAGTTCTTGTCCTTTGGCTTTAATAAAATGACTTGAAAGGCAGAACTTTTCCTTAGTGCAGCAAATTCTCCTTAAACTGTAGAGATGGGGATTTTGACTTTCCTGGGGAAAAGGGGACTTTAAAAAATTCCAGGATTTCTAGATTAAGGCTAACTTGAAAATATGCCAGATATTCCCATTTTTGCACATTTTTTGGTGCGAGTGGGCTGGTGGAAACGTGTGGAATTTTGTCATGCTGCGCTGTAACAGTTTGGGAATGGGAGGATAAAATCAGAGCTCTGAGCAGCCAGTGCTGAAGGAGTGTGTGCAGCCCTGGTTTGGATTTGGCCAGGATCTGCTGGAGCTGTTCCACCTGTGTGGGAGCTGCCTGGGAGCTCCAGGGATGCTTCATGGCCAAGCCTTCCCTGGCCATTGGGAATTCCTGGCAGCTCTCAGCTCCTGGGCCCAAAGTGTTGGGGTGAAATGGAAAACACAGCTCTGTCAGGCTGCTGTGCTTCTGGAGAGGTTTATCTGAAATTACATTGGAACTTTGCACTTTTACTACAATCTCAAAATACAATTGATTAAAAACATTTGGGATGGTCTCCTATAAATCCTGGATTGAATTAGAGCATTTATTGATTATTATCTTTGTATCAGAGATTGACACAAAGATAACTTGAGTGCCTGAATGGCTGTTGGAGATCTGTAATCTCTATTTTTTTTGGGATTAAAACTTTATTTAGAAATTTTGGGATGGTCTCCTGTAAATCCTGGATTGAATTAGTGCATTTATTGATGACAGACATATAACTTGAGTGCCTGCTGTTGGAGATCTGTAATCTCTATTTTTTTTTGGGATTAAAAATTGATTTAGAAAATTTGGGATGGTCTCCTATAAATCCTGGATTGAATTAGAGCATTTATTGATGATACACAGAGAACTTGAGTGCCTGAATGGCTGTTGGAGATCTGTAATCTCTATTTTTTTTTGGGATTAAAAATTGATTTAAAAATTTTGGGATGGTCTCCTATAAATCCTGGATTGAATTAGAGCATTTCTTGATGATACACAGAGAACTTGAGTGCCTGAATGGCTGTTGGAGATCTGTAATCTCTATTTTTTTTTGGGATTAAAAATTGATTTAAAAATTTTGGGATGGTCTCCTATAAATCCTGGATTGAATTAGAGCATTTATTGATGATACACAGGTAACTTGAGTGCCTGCTGTTGGAGATGTGTAATCTCTATTTTTTTGGGGATTAAAAATTGATTTAGAAAATTTGAGATGGTTTCTTATAAATCCTGGATTGAATTAGAGCATTTATTGATGATACAGAGATAACCTGAGTTCCTGAGCTGCTGTTGGAGTTCTGTAATCCCTATTTTTGGGATTAAAAATTGATTTAAGAAATTAGGGATGGTTTTCTATAAAACCTTTATTGAATAAGAGCACTTATTGATGATACACAGATAACCTGAGTTCCTGAGCTGCTGTTGGAGCTCTGTAATCTCAATTTCTTTGATTTTTTTTTTTTTGGATCCAGCTTAATGGAGCAAGCTCCAGCCCAGATGGGAGCGGAGGCTGTGAGGTGGGCCAAGCTGATCATCCCCCTGGTTGTCCACTCCTCTCACAAAGTGCAGTTGAGAGGTGCCACTGCCCTGGAGATGGGCATGCCCCTGCTCCTGCAGAGGCAGCAGGAGGTGGCAGCTGTCACCGAGCACCTGATGACCACAGTGAGTGACGCTGCTTGGGGAGCGTTCATTGCATTTTCTGTGCATTGATAGCGATTTCGTGATGCCAGTGGTTTTAATGGGAAAAAATGGAGATGTAAATATTCACTGCCAAGAAGTGCCCAGCAACAAAGGGGATGGGACACAGAATTTGGAGGGAGGCAGGAAAGCAGAGCGTGCTCAGCCTTTTCCATGTCCTTTGAGTCCCCATCCTGTGCAGCAGCAGCAGCCCCTGCTCCTGCAGAGGCAGCAGGAGGTGGCAGCTGTCACCGAGCACCTGATGACCACAGTGAGTGACACTGCTTGGGGAGCATTCATTCCATTTCCTGTGCCTTGACAGCAATTTCTTGCCTGGTTTTAATGGGAAAAAATAGAAATGTAAATATTCACTGCCAAGAAGTGCCCAGCAACAAAGGGGATGGGACACAGAGTTTGGAGAGGGAGGCAGGAAAGCAGAGCAGGCTCAGCCTTTTCCATGTCCTTTGAGTCCCCATCCTGTGCAGCAGCAGCAGCCCCTGGGTGTCCTTGATGGAGCTGTTCATGTTCCCCTTCGCTTCCAGGACTGGCCTCGCTCGGCTCATTTGTTTTGCTTTATTTTCTGCTAAAAACCCAAAACCCAACCAAACAAGGGGGTGTTTGGGGACAGGGCGTGTTTTGACTTCAGAGTTGGAGGAAATGCAAATATTTGAAGAAATGTATTTCGCTTTGTTTGAATGACTTTGCCATTGTCAATAAGAGCCATAAATTTCAACTAAAAAGAGAATCAGGTTGTAGCAAATTCTGTGTGGTACAGAATGAAATCCTTGTGATGTGGGACCATCAGAAATGCTGCTCCACTTCCTCATGGCACCAAAAACTGTGGATTGGGCTGAGCAAAAGAAACTTGTGCTTAGTTTAGGTATATAAGTTATATATATTTCATTGTAAAAAATACATATAATATATATAATTATATATATTATGTATATATGATTATATATAATATATATAATATTATATATAATTTTATATTATATATCATTATATATAATTATGTTATGTATAATATAATACATAAAAATATATATATTATATATATTATACATAACATTATATATATATAATATCCATTTTTACATGTTATATATAGTATTGCTATATATATTATATACATAATTATATATTATATTGTAATATATATAATATCTATTATATTATATATAATATGTATAATATATTATATATCATGTAGTATATAAAATTACATAATATATATTATGTAATATATATTATGTAATACATTATATTGCAATATATATGACAATATAATATATTACATAATATATATAATATTATGTAATATTATATACTACATAATGATATATAATATACGTATTATATATAATATATAATATATATTATATATAATATAATAATATGTTATATATTATGTAATATATTATATTGCAATATATATTACAATATAATATATTGCACAATATACATAATATATATAATATACATAATATATATATACATATATATAATATATAATAATATATAAATATAATATACAAATATATATAATATACATAATATGTAATATTATGTAATATATACTACATAATGATATATAATATACGTATTATATATAATATAATATGTATTATATATTACAATATAATATATAATTATGTATATAATATATATAGTGCAATACTATATATATAAAATATGTAAAAATAGATATTATATATATAATATTTACATAATCTCAAATCTTGTCTGTTGGTTGTGTCCCCAGACATTGGTATGAGTGTGTAGATTTTAGAACATTTAAAATCCATTTCTTGTAGAAATTCTGTTTCTTTCTGCCTGCAGAAATTAATTTCCGAACTTCAGAAATTGTTTTCCTCCAAAAACGAGACCTTCGTGTTAAAGCTGTGGCCCCTGTTTGTCAGATTGCTTGGAAAGGTGAGCAGAAAATCAGGAAATCTTTAGGAGAGGAGTTTTGAGGAGCAGAAATCTCTTTTAACTGTGAATTTCCTCCTGCTCAGACCCTGCACCGCAGTGGCAGCTTCATCAACTCCCTGCTGCAGCTGGAGGAGCTGGGCTTCCGCAGCAGCTCCCCTGTGGTGAAGAAAATTGCCTTCATTGCATGGAAGAGCCTCATTGATAACTTTGCTCTAAATCCAGGTGGGTCTGAACAAAATATTTAGCCTGATTTGTTTTCATACGAGTCATGCATAGCTGGAAAAATATGCCTGCTGGAATTAATGATAAATACGTTATTTGTATTAATACATAACTGGAAAAAAAATCTGTTAGATATTTGTATACCACTGGATATCCACATAATCTTGCAGAAAAATTCATTGTCTATGTACATAGCTAAAATTCAAGTTTTTGTTGGTTTTTTCCTTGTTCTCTTTTCCTTTTGAGGCAAGGTGATAGTTTGATCATTTGTTCTATCCTAGTTTTTGTGCTGGGAATGCTAGAAATAGAATAAAATTAGTAAGTTGTGTTTTGTAATGATATAAATGATCCAAAGAGCAGTGAAATAGAGAATGAAACGTTCTGTGTGTTTTATTTTGGATGATGTGGTGTTACTGGAGGAAGGCAACACTTCAGAATTCCAGAAGAAAATTTTAAAAAGTTTAAAAAAAGTTGTTCTAAAGGTGTAACCTGAATCTGAAGTTTTTATTCTACCTTCTGTTAATATACAATATTTTTTACCTTGATTGTGCTTCTCTGTGTTCTGAAGAGAAAACTCAGGGTTTGATTTTGCTGTCCCTGGAGCAGATGGGACCTAACAGAGCAGGCAAGAGGGAATTTCTTCTGTTTATCCCAGAATCCCAACGTGGGTCAGGCTGGGTCCAACCTCCCTTCTCGAGTGGGGTCAGGTTGCAATGCAGAAAATTTAATTTCAGTCTTTGTATTGCAAAGAAATCCTTGATTTTTGCAGAGTTGTTCTGAGCAATAATTAGAGCAGTAAGAGAATTTGAAAGGTTGGTGTGGTTGAGTTTTGCAGATAATTGAATTTGAAGCTAAAAGGTATTGGGGAAAAAGCAATGGTTTAATCAGCTTTTGCTGAGCTGTGCTTGTTTAAAATTCACCTTTTGGATCCCCCAGACATCCTGTGCAGTGCCAAGAGGCTGAAGCTGCTGATGCAGCCCCTGAGCTCCATCCACGTGAGGACTGAGGCTCTGGCCCTGACCAAGCTGGAGGTCTGGTGGTATTTGCTGATGAGGCTGGGGCCTCACCTGCCCTCCAACTTTGAGCAGGTAACTCAGGGGACAGGAATCCTGATCCCTGTGCAGCAGAGTGCAAAATATTCCTGCTTCATCACTTTCTGCTGTGGTACTGAAACCAAATCCCTCAAGGAACCGATTTGTGCTTGTGTGTGACTACAGATTGTGTAGAAGGGATATCTGGGACTCACAGCCCCAAAATACTGGGGAGTCTGTGGGAATGCCCTGTGAGCATCTCTGAAAACCTGCCCTGAGTGCAGCCATGGATTATAGGTGTGTTCAATAAAGGCTGTGTCCTCCTTTCACCAAGGAGGTGTGGGCTTGGAAAAGGCTGTCGCAGGAAAAGTGGTGAAAGACCATAAATATTTAGGAAGATAGAAATAATGCAGGTGTTGCATTTCTAGTCACTCTAAGTGGAATGGACCTGTTTCTCTTCAACACCTGGATTCCATTGAATTCATCTTCAAGATGGGAGTAAAGGGAGGGAAAAGTATTTTCTTAGCATTATTAAAATATACTGCATCCACCAGAAATTTTTGTTTGATTAGACATTTCTAATTCATTTTAAATACCCAGATTAGTGAGCAGCAGCCCAGTTGGTGCTGACTGAAATGAGATTTTTGTGCCTTGCTGGTGGTGTAGCTGTTGCTGGGGTCCCTTTGCAGGTTTGTGTCCCTCTCATCCAAAGCACCCTGAGTGTGGATCCTGCTGCTGCCTTCCCCGGGACGCCCTCACGGCCAAACAACCCCAGCCTGGGCTCAGCAACCCCTGGGCAGAAACCAGGTACTGACACATCAACCTGTGGCAATTTCCAGCTCTATTTCATGTGTACAGACTCATCTCTGTTTGTCATGTTCTGCTTTTCCATTTATAATTCTCCAGAGCAGTGAGTTTTCTGCATGGTTTATTTGGGGAAAGTGAGGCTGTTGCAGTCATTATTTAAAGTTTCACAAGTTGTGCCAATCACAGTTGAGGGCTCAGGGACCCCTGGGCAGAAACCAGGTACTGAAACATCAACCTGTGGGAATTTCAGCTCCATTTCACATGCACAGACTCATCTCTTCTGTTTGTCATGTTCTGCTTTTCCACTTCTCATTCTTGTTCTTCAGAACACTGAGTTGTTTGCATGGTCACTGCATGATTTATGTGGGGGAAAGTGAGGCTGTTGCAGTCATTATTTAAAGTTTCAAAAGTTGTGCCCATCACAGCTGGGGGCTCAGGGACCCCTGGGCAGAAACCAGGTACTGAAACATCAACCTGTGGAAATTTCCAGCTCTATTCACATGTAGAGAATCATCTCCTCTGTTTGCCATGTTCTGCTTTTCCATTTCTCATTCTTTTTCTTCACAACATTTGAGTTTTCTGCATGGTCACTGCATGATTTATATGGGGGAAAGTGAAGTTGTTGCAGTCATTATTTAAAGTTTCAAAAGTTGTGCCCATCACACTTGAGGGCTCAGGGACCCCTGGGCAGAAACCAGGTACTGAAACATCAACCTGTGGGAATTTCAGCTCCATTTCACATATAGAGAATCATCTCCTCTGTTTGCCATGTTCTGCTTTTCCACTTCTCATTCTTGTTCTTCAGAACACTGAGTTTTTGCATGGTCACTGCATGATTTATTTGGGGAAAGTGAGGCTGTTGCAGTCATCATTTAAAGTTTCACAAGTTGTGAAATCACAGTTTGAGGACCAGTTTTAATGGCCTGAATTCTGTTCTCTGTTACAAGAGAGCTCTGGTTTGAAATTTATTTTTTCAACTATTTTTTCATCTATTTATATGTGCCCTTTTATTTCTGTAGCATTTTTAGTTTCTGCCTGAATAGCAGAGAACCTTGGAATGGTTTGGGTTGGAAAGGAGCTTAAAGCTCATCCAGGGACACCTCCCACTATTGGGCACTCCAGGGATGGGCATCCCACCCTGCCAGCCAGGAATTCCTTCCCAAATCCCAAAATCCCACCGAACCCTGCCCAGGGATGATGATCCAGCAGGAATTTTAATGCTTTAACCACATGTAAAACCACCTCTAGTTTGCATTATTAAGTATATTCTGGACTTTCCTTGGATAAAGGACATTATCCCAGAAAAGTCCAGAATATACTTAATAATGCAAACTTTTTAATTGAAAATGAAAGTAACCAGCTCTAAATATCCAATGAGGAACTCCTGGTTTTCCTTCCCTTTCTGGAAGCCTGGCACCCATGGCTTGTGCCATTGTGTTGTGCTGTAATCAGGAGCCTCAGGGATCCTGCATTTGGGGAGTTTCCTGTTTTCCCCTTCTTAAAAAAGTTCATCTTAGTCCTGGGAGATCACAGCTGAGTTGGTCAAAGTATTTTGCCAAGTCCTCTTAAATTTGTATTCCGGGTGACAATTTCCAATGGAAGCTGTTTTGTTAGCAGCAGATTGATACAAGTGTTCGGTGGCTGTGTAGCCACAGCTTCCATGGAGATTTGTATGGCCAAAATAAACTTTGGTGTCCTAGAATTGACAGTTTTGGGGCAGATATTTAAAATCCTGGGGAAAATAGAGCTGTGATAGCAAACCCTGCTTAGCTGAGAAGCCTGGCTGTCAGAGGTGCCTTCCAACACCAGCACTCCATGATTTGTCCTTTTCCTGGGGGATTTGGGGTTTTTCCCTGGGGTTTCTGTGATGTTCCCCATTTGTGTGCCCTCCCTGGGGGATTTGGGGTTTTTCCCTGGGGTTTCTGTGATGTTCCCCATGTGTGTGCCATCCCTGGGGGATTTGGGGTTTTTCCCTGGGGTTTCTGTGATGTTCCCCATTTGTGTGCCTCCCTGGGGGATTTGGGGTTTTTCCCTGGGGTTTCTGTGATGTTCCCCATGTGTGTGCCCTCCCTGGGGGATTTGGGAATTTTCCCTGAGATTTCTGTGATGTTCCCATTTGTGTGCCCTTCCTCCCTCAGATGCTGTGTCCTTTTCCTGGGGGATTTGGGAATTTTCCCTGAGGTTTCTGTGATGTTCCCCATGTGTGTGCCCTCCCTGGGGGATTTGGGGTTTTTCCCTGGGGATTCTGTGATGTTCCCCATTTGTGTGCCCTCCCTGGGGGATTTGGGGTTTTTCCCTGGGGATTCTGTGATGTTCCCCATGTGTGTGCCCTCCCTGGGGGATTTGGGGTTTTTCCCTGGGGTTTCTGTGATGTTCCCCATGTGTGTGCCCTCCCTGGTGGATTTGGGGTTTTTCCCTGGGATTTCTGTGATGTTCCCCATTTGTGTGCCTCCCTGGGGGATTTGGGGTTTTTCCCTGGGGTTTCTGTGATGTTCCCCATGTGTGTGCCCTCCCTGGGGGATTTGGGGTTTTTCCCTGGGGTTTCTGTGATGTTCCCCATGTGTGTGCCCTCCCTGGGGGATTTGGGGTTTTTCCCTGGGGTTTCTGTGATGTTCCCCATGTGTGTGCCCTCCCTGGTGGATTTGGGGTTTTTCCCTGGGATTTCTGTGATGTTCCCCATTTGTGTGCCTCCCTGGGGGATTTGGGGTTTTTCCCTGGGATTTCTGTGACGTTCCCCATTTGTGTGCCCTCCCTGGGATTTCTGTGATGTTCCCCATTTGTGTGCCCTCCCTGGGGGATTTGGGGTTTTTCCCTGGGGTTTCTGTGATGTTCCCCATGTGTGTGCCCTCCCTGGGGGATTTGGGGTTTTTCCCTGGGGTTTCTGTGACGTTCCCCATTTGTGTGCCCTCCCTGGGATTTCTGTGATGTTCCCCATTTGTGTGCCCTCCCTGGGGGATTTGGGGTTTTTCCCTGGGGTTTCTGTGATGTTCCCCATTTGTGTGCCTCCCTGGGGGATTTGGGGTTTTTCCCTGGGGTTTCTGTGATGTTCCCCATGTGTGTGCCCTCCCTGGGGGATTTGGGGTTTTTCCCTGGGATTTCTGTGATGTTCCCCATGTGTGTGCCCTCCCTGGGGGATTTGGGGTTTTTCCCTGGGGTTTCTGTGATGTTCCCCATTTGTGTGCCCTCCCTGGGGGATTTGGGGTTTTTCCCTGGGGTTTCTGTGATGTTCCCCATGTGTGTGCCCTCCCTGGGGGATTTGGGGTTTTTCCCTGGGGTTTCTGTGATGTTCCCCATGTGTGTGCCCTCCCTGGGGGATTTGGGGTTTTTCCCTGGGGTTTCTGTGATGTTCCCCATGTGTGTGCCCTCCCTGGTGGATTTGGGGTTTTTCCCTGGGATTTCTGTGATGTTCCCCATTTGTGTGCCTCCCTGGGGGATTTGGGGTTTTTCCCTGGGATTTCTGTGACGTTCCCCATTTGTGTGCCCTCCCTGGGATTTCTGTGATGTTCCCCATTTGTGTGCCCTCCCTGGGGGATTTGGGGTTTTTCCCTGGGGTTTCTGTGATGTTCCCCATGTGTGTGCCCTCCCTGGGGGATTTGGGGTTTTTCCCTGGGGTTTCTGTGACGTTCCCCATTTGTGTGCCCTCCCTGGGATTTCTGTGATGTTCCCCATGTGTGTGCCCTCCCTCAGGCCCTTTGGTGTTTGTGAGCCCAGGTACCCCCAGGATGGCCCTGAGCAGCCCAGCAGGAGCGCAGCTCTTCCCCTCCATCCAGCTCCTGGCCATGGAGATGCTGCTCCACTTCCTCATGGGACCGCACGTGGTGGAGTTTGCCAAGCACAACAAACTCGTGCTTAGTTTAGGTATGTGGGATTTATATTTATATTTTGTATGTAATATAATATTTTTATTTGTAATATTTCAATATTATAACATTTTAATAATTATAGTATTAAATGACTTTAATTATTAAATAATTTAAATATTATTAAATTACTAAATATTAATTAATTAATAAATATTATAGTATTTTAATAGTTTACTATCATAATATAATATTTATATCATATAATTTTAATATAATATAATATAATGTAATGTAATGTAATATAATGTCATATGATATGATATATGATATAATGTAATATGATATAATATAATATAATAAGATATAATAAGATATAAGATGTAATATGATATATGATATAATATAATAGAACATAATATAATAATGATATATGATATGATATGATATGATATGAGAATATAATATGATATGAGATAATATAATATGATATATTACAATATTATATGATATGATGTAATATGATATGATATGAGAATATAATATGATATGAGATAATATAATACGATATAATACAATATAATATGATATGATATAATAATATAATATGATATGATATAATATAATATTATATGATATAATATAATATAATGTGATATGATATAAATGTTATATCTTATATCCTATATCTTATATCCTATATAATATCATTTTATATATATAATTTTATATGTAATTTAATTTTATATATAATTTTATATATAATATAGTATAATATAATATAGTATAATATAATATAGTATGATGTTTGTATATATAATATAATGTTTTTATATTTTTATATAGAATTTATAATTATATGTTTGTTTATATATAATTTAATAATTTTATATTTATAAATATATACCTTATATTTTTATATATTTATATTTCTAATTGTACAGTTTATATTTTTATATATGTATATTTAACTGTAAAAATATATTGACGTCATCTCAAATCTTGTCTGTTAGACTGAAATGATTTAAACTTATAACTGTTGTCAGTTTGAAGATATCCTTATGTTAAAAATGCTGTAAATACACAAAAATTTTATTATTGTTAAGGTTTGTTTTCCCAGCAAACTGCAAAGTAAGAGCTTTATGGAATGTGTTTTTTTGTTCTTGTAGAGCCTCTGCAGCACCCACTGATCAGTAGCCCTTCTTTTTTTTGCAAGCATGCCAGCACTCTGATCAACGCTGTTCAGGATGGCTTTGTGGCCATTGGAAAAGAAGTTCCTGGTAAGAATTCAGTGGCTGTGGGATCTCAGCACATCAGCCCTGATGTGCAGAGTCACCGAGACAACCCTTGGGGGGCTCGGAGGTCCTGGACGTTGCCAGCAGTGTCTGGTGGCTGGGCTGTGATCCTGCACGGGAGACGACACCTGTGTGAGGATGGGAGGGTCACACTGGGATAAATGGTGAAGGGATGGGTTAATTACAGTGTGAAACACAGATCCACCTCAAGGGTTGGGAGTGACCATGGAGATCCACCTGAAGGGTTGGAAATTACCATGGAGGGATGGGTTAATTGTAGTGTGAAACACAGGTTTTAGAATTTTGGTACAGGGGGGTCTAGAGAAGTAAGATGGAGGAATTGGGGCGTGTCCTGTCCTTCTTCTTCTTCTTCTTGGCCTCCATCTTCTGTGGTGGTGGTGGCACTTTGGGATTGGTTCTTACTAAAAGTGCCCCTGTGTGGGATCTCAGCACATCAGCCCTGATGTGCAGAGTCACCGAGACAACCCTTGGGGGGCTCGGAGGTCCTGGACGTTGCCAGCAGTGTCTGGTGGCTGGGCTGTGATCCTGCACGGGAGACGACACCTGTGTGAGGATGGGAGGGTCACACTGGGATAAATGGTGAAGGGATGGGTTAATTACAGTGTGAAACACAGGGTTTAGAATTTCGGTACAGGGGGGTTGTCCTGGTTTAGGGCAAATTTGTTAAAGAGTCTCCAAAGGGGGCCCCTCCAGAAAGCAAAACCCACACGGCCCCTCCCTCCAACCGGTTCGGGAAAAAATTCCTTGGAGAGAGGTGGAAAGAACCTGTTTATTTCAGGCACAGCACCCCCCAGCACACAAAATGAACAATACCAGCTGACACCGCTCTGAGAAAGATGACAAAATCAGAAAGTCTCTTTCGGGGGTGGTTGCTCTGTTCTCAGTCCCTCCGGCGCTGGGGCAGCTGCTGCAGCCAAACCTTCGGTGTTCCCAGTCCGGAGCAGGTTCGAGATGGTCACAGAAACAGGAGAGGAGAAACAGTCCGGGAAGGAGTTTGGACTGTTTAGCTAAACTAGCTAATAAGCAGAAGCAAAAGCGAGAGCAGGAAAGCAAGCGAGCAAGCAAGGCAGCAAGCTGAAAGCAAGAAGTGAAAAACAGCCCTGTGTATTTACTGCCTGTCTCTGTGTCCCTGATAAGAGAAACCCAAACAAAACTTCCACTCTTCAGAGCCAGTCTTAAAGGCACAGAACAGACGAATGGGGATACAAGCATCATAACGTCACCCCAGGACAGGGGTCTAGAGAAACAAGATGGAGGAATTGGGGCGTGTCCTGTCCTTCTTCTTCTTCTTCTTGGCCTCCATCTTCTGTGGTGGTGGTGGCACTTTGGGATTGGTTCTTACTAAAAGTGCACTGGTCAATAAGGGTGAAAAGCATTGGGGAAAATAGGTAAATATCTTATAGGTAGTTTTGGGTATAAAGATAAAGAGTGCTCTCGGTGTGTCCATGGCCAACGTGCTGTGCAGACCTCTGTCGGGTTGAGAGAAAATCTTGTAGATAAAAACTGATAAACCCTGAAGGCCGAGAAAAAACCTGAAGACTCCTTTCGTCCTTTGGAGTACGGGCTGTCCCAGGGCCATCCCGAGCCTTTCCAGGCCATCCAAAACAGCCGAGAACGGGACAGTGGTGGTGGCACTTTGGGATTGGTTCTTAATAAAAGTGCACTGGTCAATAAGGGTGAAAAGCATTGGGGAAAATAGGTAAATATCTTACAGGTAGTTTAGGGTATAAAGATCAGTGACCGCCCTGAAGGCAGTCAGTGTGTCCATGGCCGACGTGCTGTGCAGACCTCTGTCGGGTTGAGAGAAAATCTTGTAGATAAAAATTAATAAACCCTGAAGGCCGAGAAAAAACCTGAAGCCTCCTTTCGTCCTTTGGAGCGCGGGCTGTCCCGAGGTGTGGTAGATAGGGGCAGGCGCTCGGAAAATCCCGCCATGTCAGGGACAGCAGCAGGATTCCTCTCCCCTAACGCCCGGTGATAAGGGTTCACCCAAGAATGTACACCCCCCTAACACTCGTAACCTTCCACTCCTTACTAACCAATTGCAGTAAGGTAAGACCCCCTGACATAGAGAAAAACCTCCCCGTGGGAGTATAAAACCCCACGGGACGGGGCAATAAAGGCCTTTGGACCGTCCACCACGTTGGTGCCCGCGTGTGTTCTTGGCCCGAGCGACCCTGGAGAGTTTGGGTCGCCGTGCCGTCCCTCAGAACCAGGCCGCCTTGCCTGGCGTCAGAAAGCAGCACCAGGGCCATCCCGAGCCTTTCCAGGCCACCAAAAACAGCCGAGAACGGGACAAGTGGGGAAATCCCAACTTTTCCTGGGAAATCAAGTGGGCGAGGGAAAGATAAGAAACCAACACTTCGTGATGTCCTGATGTTGGAAAAAGCAGAACTGGTCTGACTGCATTGAAATTTGAGTTCTGGCTTCAACCCAAACCTGTTCTTTAACACAATTTCTATTTTAGCTGCAGTTTTGTTGGATGTTTTTGTTGCAAACTGAATAAAGCCATTGTTCCCTTGCAGACTGTTTGCTGAGTGTTATCTGGAAGGACATCAATGGATTTGTAAGGACAGCAATTGAAGCAGGTAAAAAGGGTAATTTTCTTCAGTTTGCCATTGCTACCACTCACAGGTGGTTTATTTTTAATAAAAAAGGGCATTTTCTTCAATTTGCCATTGCTACCACTCACAGGTGGTTTATTTTTAATCAAAAAGGGCATTTTCTTCAGTTTGCCATTGCTACCACTCACAGGTGGTTCATTTTTAATAAAAAAGGGCATTTTCTTCAATTTGCCATTGCTACCACTCACAGGTGGTTTATTTTTAATAAAAAAGGGTAATTTTCTTCAGTTTGCCATTGCTACCACTCCCAGGTGGTTCATTTTTAGCCTAGACCAGAAATTGTTCATTGTTCATTGCTCGGGTTCAGTCTGAATCAATAATTCTGTTCTATTTTAAATAGAAAAACAACTTCCCCTCAAGTCTTTAGTATTGAGAAATGGAGACAAAAATTAAAAGATTTTCACTCTTTTTTCTTCATTGAAACTCTGTTCCACAGTGAACTGTAGAGTCTGCAGATGTATAAAAGTTGTTTCTGATTTTAAAAATAAGAAAAAATTTGTATTATTAAGCATATTCTGGACTTTCCTTGGATAAAGAACATTATCCAAGAAATAACCATACTTAATAATGCAAACTTTGAATTGAAAATCAATCAGAACACAAAGAATTCATCCATCCTTTGGATGAATACAAAATTCCCCCCACCACCAACTTTAATGTACCAAAAATCAGATCCTTAATGGAACAAAGATGTTTCCATTTCCTAATTAGACTTGAAGGTTTTTTATTGAAAATTTGGAATTTATGAGCAGAACACACCTGAATCTCGGAAGGATTTGCTGAATTTTTACAAATTTACACAGAATTTTTTGGTTTTTTCCACTGAAAGTTTGATTGATGCTCAGAGTGACCATTGTGCTCTGACTGGAAATGTTCTTTATTTTAGAAAATAAGAAATGTTTTTTATTTCAGGAAATAAGAAGGAGAAGGGAGGCTCAGAAGTTCTGACCCTGTTGCTGCAGGCCCTGAAGAACATTGTGAGCTCCAATTCCCTGCCTGCGCACAAAGTCCTGGTGAGTTCTGCCTGAAAAGCAGCTGCAGCTTTGTCAATTTTTTTTTGTAATTTTTTGTGGATTTTTGGTATTTTTTTGTAAATTTTGGGTGGTTTTTTTTGTAAATTTTTGGGGTTTTTTGTAATTTTTTTGGTATTTTTTTGTAAATTTTGGGTGGGTTTTTTTGTAAATTTTTGTGGGTTTTTTGTAATTTTTTTGGTATTTTTTTGTAAATTTTTTTGTATTTTTTGTAAATTTTTGGGGGGGGTTTTGTAAATTTTTTGAGGGTTTTGTGAAAAAATTTTGGGGTTTTTTTGTAATTTTTTGGGTTTTTTTGTGGATTTTTCGGGTTTTTTCCTAAATTTTTTTGTATCTTTTGTAATTTTGGGGGGTTTTTTTGTAAATTTTTTGGGTTTTTTGAAAATTTTTTTGTATTTTTTTGTATTTTTTTGGTAATTTTTGTAAATTTTGGGGTTTTTTTTGTAAATTTTTTGTATGTTTTTCTAAATTTTTTGGTATTTTTTTGTAAATTTTTTGGGGGTTTTTTGGTAAATTTTTCGTATTTTTTTGTAAATTTTCGGGGTATTTTTTGTAAATTTTTTGGTATTTTTTGGTAATTTTTTGTAAATTTTTTGCTATTTTTTGTAAATTTTGGGGGGTTTTTTTGAAAATTTTTTTGAGGTTTTTTGAAAATTTTTTGGGGGGGTTTTGTAAGTTTTTGGTATTTTTCGTAATCTTTTGTATTTGGGGGCTTGGTATTTTTGATAATTTTTTGTCTCTGGGGGGTTTTTTGTAACTTTGTTTTTGTAATTTTTTGGTATTGGGGTTTTTTTTTTGTTTTGGGTTTTTTTTGTAATTTTGGGGGTTTTTTGTTTGTTTTTTTTGGGTTTTTGTTGTTTTGCTTTGTAATTTTTGTATTTTGGGGTTTGGTGGGTTTTTATGTAGGTTTGGTGGGTTTTGTATTTTATATGTTTTTGTATTTTTATCTGTATTTTTTTTGTATTTTATTTGTATTTTTGGGGTTTTTTTGTATTTTTTGTATATTTTTTGTGGTTTTTGTAATTTTGGGGGGGGGGGTTGTGTTTTTTGTATTTTATCTGTACTTACTACATTTTGCTTAAAATATAATAAGTACAAATAAAATACAAAAAAATATAACTTGAACCCTCAGCAAAAATCATTTAAATGTATTTTATTTTAATTTTCTCCTATTCAGTCTCTCATTGACATCACTGTCAAGGAGCTGCCCCCAAAAGTTTTGGGTCCCCAGCTTACCAGGTGGCTGATATGGATCTTCTAAATGTAAGTGAATTAATTAATTAGTTCATTAATTAATTACTTCATTATTAGTTCATTGATTAGTTAGTTCATTAATTCTGGGACTTCATTAAGCTGAAAAGTTTTGAAAATCAAATTATTTCATGTTGCACAGAACTTCGTTTGCAGGCCTCGCTAATTGAACTGTGTAATTAATGAAATTAATTTGATTTTTTTTTTTGTATTAATTATAATTATTATAATGAAAAAGGGCTGATATGACAACTTCTAATGACTGAATTTCTGGTTAATAATAATAATAATAATAATAATAATAATAATGAAATTCTGGGTAATAATAATTGTGAATTTCTGGCTAATAATAATAACAATAATTGGGATTTTCTGGCTAATGATAATGACACTAATTGTGATTTTCTGGCTAATATTAATGGTGAATTTCTGGCTAATAATAATAACAATAATTGTGATTTTTCTGGCTAATAACAATAACTGAATTTCTGGCTAATAATAATAACAATAATTGTGGGTTTTCTGACTAAAAATAATAACAATAACTGTGAATTTCTAACTAATAATAATAATAATAATAGTGAAATTCTGGTAATAATAATTGTGAATTTCTGGTTAACAAGAATAACAATAAAAGTGAATTCTGGCTAATAAGAATAATAATTGTGAATTTCTTGCTAACAGTATTAATAATAGTGAATTTCTTGGCTAATAATAACAATAATGGTGAATTTTTGGCTGATAATAACAATAATAATTCTGAATTTTTGCTAATAGAAATAATAATAATAATTGTGAATTTCTGGCTAATAAGAATAACAGTAATTTTGACTTTCTGGCTAATTAGAATAACATTAATAACTGAATTTCTGGCTAATAAGAATAACAATGATAATTGTGACTTTTCTGGCTAATAATAGTATATTAATTGGGAATTTCTGGCTAATAATAGTAATAATAATTGGAAATTTCTGACTAATAATAATAATTGTGGATTTTCTGGCTAATAAGAATAACAATAATAGTGAATTTCTGGCTAATAATAACAACAATCATTTTGATTTTTCTGGCTAATAATAACAATTGTGAATTTCTGGCTAATATTAATAGTGAATTTCTGGCTAATAATAATAACAATAATTGTGGTTTTCTGGCTAATATTAATGGTGAATTTCTGGCTAATAATAATAATTGTGGTTTTTCTGACTAATAATAATAACAATAACTGAATTTCTGGCTGATAATAATAATAATAATAATAGTGAAATTCTGGGTAATAATAATTGTGAATTTCTGGTTAACAAGAATAACAATAATTGTGAATTTCTGGCTAATAAGAATAATAATTGTAGATTTTCTGGCTAACAGTAATAATAATAGTGAATTTCTGGCTAATAATAACAATAATAGTGAATTTCTGGCTAATAATAACAACAATCATTTTGATTTTTCTGGCTAATAATAATAATAATTGTGAATTTCTGGCTAATAATAATAACAAGAATTGTAGATTTTTCTGGCTAACAGTAATAATAATTGTGATTTTCTGGCTAATGATAATGACACTAATTGTGATTTTCTGGCTAATATTAATGGTGAATTTCTGGCTAATAATAATAACAATAATTGTGATTTTTCTGGCTAATAACAATAACTGAATTTCTGGCTAATAGAACAATAATAATTCTGAATTTTTGACTAATAATAATAATAATTCTGAATTTCTGGCTAATAAGAATAACAATAATTGTGACTTTCTGGCTAATAAGAATAACAGTAATCCTGAATTTTTGCTAATAACATAATTTTGACTTTCTGGTTAATTAGAATAACATTAATAACTGTGAATTTCTGAAGAATAATAATAATAATTGTGACTTTCTGGCTAATAAGAATAACAATAATTGTGATTTTCTGGCTAATGATAATAACAATAATAGCGATTTTCTGGCTAATAACAATAACTGAATTTCTGGCTAATAATAATAATAATAATAATAGTGAAATTCTGGGTCATAATAATTGTGAATTTCTGGTTAACAATAACAACAATAATAGTGAATTTCTGGCTAATAAGAATAGTAATTGTAGATTTTTTGGCTAATAATAATAATAATTGTGAATTTCTGGCTAATAACAATTGTGAATTTCTGGCTAATAATAATAATAATTGTGACTTCTGGCTATAAGAATAGCAATAATAATTGTGACTTTCTGGCTAACAATAGTAATAATAAGTGGGAATTTCTGGCTAATAATAGTAACAATAATTGGGAATTTCTGGCTAATAACAATAACCAGTCAATAATTGTGAACTTCTGGCTAATAATTGTGGGTTTTCTGGCTAATAAGATAACAATAATTGTGATTTTCTGGCTAATGATAATAACAATAATAATGATTTTCTGGCTAATACTAATAGTGAATTTCTGGCTAATAATAATAATAATAACTGTGGTTTTTCTGGCTAATAACAATAACTGAATTTCTGGCTAATAATAATAATAATTGTGACTTAATGGCTAATAAGAATAACAATAATAATAGTGATTTTTCTGGCTAATAACAGTAAAAATAATTGGGAATTTCTGGCTAATAAGAAGAATAATAATAGTGAATTTTTGGCTAATAAGAATAATAATAGTGAATTTTTGGCTAATAATAATAGTAGTGAATTTTTAATAACAGTAATTAATAACAATAATTGTGAATTTCTTGCCCGTAAGAATAACAACAATAATTGTGACTTTATGGCTAATAAGAATAACAATAATAATTGTGAACTTCTGGCTAATAATTGTGAGTTTTCTGGCTAATAAGAATAACAATAATAATAATTGTGACTTTCTGGCTAATAAGAATAACAATAATAATTGTGTTTTTGTGGCTAATGATAATAACAATAATAGTGATTTTCTGGCTAATATTAATAGTGAATTTCTGGCTAATAATGATAATAATTGTGATTTTTCTGGCTAATAAGAATAACAATAATAGTGAATTTCTGGCTAATAAGAACAATAATAATTCTGAATTTCTGGCTAATAAGAATGACAATAATAATTGTGACTTCTGACTAATGATAGTAATAATAATTGTGACTTTCTGGCTAATAATAGTAACAATAATCGGGAATTTCTGGCTAATAGTAACAATAATTGGAATTTCTGGCTAATAATAGTAACAATCGTTGGAATTTCTGGCTAACAGTAATAACGATAATTGTGATTTTCTGGCTAATAAGAATAAAGATAATGGTGAATTTCTGAGTAATAGGAATAAGAATAATTGGGAATTTCTGGCTAATAATAGTAACAATAATTGGGAATTTCTGGCTGACAAAATAGTAACAATAATAGTGAATTTCTGGCTAAAAATAGTAACAATGATTGGGAATTTCTGGCTAATAATAGTAACAATAATTGGGAATTTCTGGCTAACAGTAATACGATAATTGTGATTTTCTGGCTAATAAGAATAGAGATAATAGTGAATTTCTGGGTAATAGGAATAACAATAATTGGGGAATTTTCTGGCTAATAATGGCAGTGAATTTCTGGCTAATTACACTGACTGTGCCCTGGGGCTCAGTGCAATGCAGCCCAGAGCTCCTGGTGGAGCTGAGGCTGCCCTTGCATCCCCCAGCGCCGTTTAACCTCTCCCCTCTCTGTCCCAAGGGCACCCCAGCTCTGTTCCTGATCCAGCTGCCCTTCCACAACAACCTGCTGGAGAGCTGTGTGACAGATGAGAGGTACTGCAGCTTAGAAACTCTTCATTTCACCATTTTTACTGCAGCTGGGGAAAAGCCAACCTCTGACTGTGCCATTTCCTCGCCAGGTTCTTCGGGATCCTGCAGGCCCTGGTGGGGTTTGCCCTGTCTGGGCCCACCTCTGCCCTGGCTTTCAGTGAGTCCGTGCTGGGGGTCATTGAGCAGAGTGCGGGGCAGCTGGGCAGCAAGGAGCACCTGTGCAGGATGTGGAGCATCGTGGTGAATCCTCTCACCGAATGGATCAACCAGGTAATTCATTCATTGTGGTGTGAATCCTCTCCAGGTGATTCATTCATTGTGGTGAATCCTCTCAGTCAGGTCATTCATTCCTTGTGGTGAATCCTCTCAGTCAGGTAATTCATTCATTGTGGTGAATCCTCTCAGTCAGGTAATTCATTCATTGTGGTGAATCCTCTCCAGGTAATTCATTCATTGTGGTGAATCCTCTCAGTCAGGTCATTCATTCCTTGTGGTGAATCCTCTCAGTCAGGTCATTCATTCCTTGTGGTGAATCCTCTCAGTCAGGTAATTCATTCATTGTGGTGAATCCTCTCAGTCAGGTAATTCATTCATTGTGGTGAATCCTCTCAATCAGGTCATTCATTCATTGTGGTGTGAATCCTCTCCAGGTAATTCATTCCTTGTGGTGAATCCTCACAATCAGGTCATTCATTCATTGTGGTGAATCCTCTCACTGAGTGGATCAGTCAGGTAATTCATTCATTATTGTGTGAATCCTCTCACTGAGTGGATCAGTCAGGTAATTCATTCATTGTGGTGAATCCTCTCACCAATCAGGTAATTCATTCATTGCGGTGAATCCTCTCAGGTAATTCATTGAGTGGATCAATCAGGTAATTCATTCATTGCGGTGAATCCTCTCACTTAGTGGATCAATCAGGTAATTCATTCATTAACTCAGCAGTGAATGAATTCATTCATTGATTCATTCATCGTGAATAAATCATTCAGCAGTGGATTCAGTTCTCTTCCCAACACTGACATCCCCACAGGAGAGCTTTGCTGAGCATTTATCTGATTAAGGAATTTTACTGAGCGTTTATCTGATTTTTATAGCAATTTTGCTGAGCATTTATCTGATTTTTAAAGGAATTTTACTGAGCATAAGCAATTTTGCTGAGCATTTCTCTGATTTTTTAAGGAATTTTGCTGAGCATTTCTCTGAATTTTTAAGGAATTTTGCTGAGCATTTCTCTGAATTTTTAAAGGAATTTTGCTGAGCATTTATGTGAATTTTTTGAGGAATTCCATGTCTTGAAGTGATGCTGGAATTGCATAGCTTGGCATAATCCTGCTGGTGAAAACCATGGAAAGGTTCCCCCCAGGAATTGTTAACTTTTAAATACCATGGGTTGGATTGCTTGGTGTGAAAATCAAATTATTCCCAGATTGGGATGTTCAGGATGTAATTAGAGCAGAGTTTTACTCATGTTGGACATCTTTAGAGTAATAAAAGCCTTATAAATTATAATAGTTGGGAGATTTAGCACCTTATTTACTGGAAGTAAGCCGATTGTAGTGTAGGAGTTGGTGAATTAATTAATCCTCATTATTCATTAAATATAAAAATCATGGAATTGATGAAGAAATTTTTAGATGCTGTGACCATTTCCAGCAGCATGGGCACAGGGAATTGCTCCCCACTGCCAGGGCAGGGATGGATGGGAAATTGGGAATTGGGAATTCCTGCCTGGGAGGGTGGGCAGGGGCTGGGATGGAATTTGCCTTCCTGAAATCTGTGTTATTGATCAGCAAATGTAAAATTTGGTGTCCAGGAATTGAAATGTCCATGGAGATGATTCCTGCTTCAAGTTTTGTTCTCCACATTTTCAGAGTGCTCAGTGAGGGAATGCTGTGGTCAGGTCAGAGCCTGATCCCAAACTGCAGCAACAGAGACTGACTTAAAAATTAATTACAGCCTCATTAATAACAGCCTGATTAACAACCATTTCCTCATGGTCCTTGGCTGTGGGACCTTTTTGTCTCTCCGTGCCTTGAACACCCTGGCAGTGCCCAAGGAGGGTGGGATGGGATCAGTGGGGTTGGAATAAAATGAGATTTAAGGTCCCTCCTGAGCCCTCCCATGCCAGGATTCTCTGGGGTTGTCATCACTCCCTGCAGCTGAAATAAGTGAGGAACCCCAAACATTTCCCAGATTTGGTTTTCTGGGAATAAATATATTTTGGCTTTTTACCCTTTGCTGGCAGGATCCTCCCGAGCTCTTGAAAGAGCAGAACATCTGATTTCAACCTGCATTGAATCAGGAGCAGCCTTATTTGCCAGCCCAATTTTGCAGCTTTAGCTTTGCTAAGCATAATCTAACAGATCTCTTTTAAATTAATACAAAAATGTGCTGTAAATTCTAATGTGGTGATTTCTGTAGCCTGGAGTGGTTTGGGTGAGAGTTGAAGCTTTAAGAATTCTTTTTGCTGACTGGAGTTGGAAGAGAAATGAAAAAAGGGAGTGAAAATAAGAATAAAATTTAAATATTTAAATGTCCTAGTTGGAGACAAAATTTGGGAGGTGACTTCCCCAGGGGGTCTCTTATATAAAAGCAGATTTTAGCAGCTCCTCTCCCAGAAGATAATGGTGTTTGGGAGATAGTCTCCTTGGAGAACAGAGGAAAAGAATGATTATTTAACAAGCAAAGTATTCACAAGTCTGAAGAAAAATTAATCACATTAATAAAACTCTTTTCTTGTTGCAGAATAACGAGGTGAACCAGGGGGATGCCCTGGAGCACAACTTCAGTGCTGTGTACAGTGCTTTGTTGCTGCCAGTGTCCCACATTTTCCCCACTCAGGGATTCCCACAGGTAACAGCAAACCAATCAAATTAATGAAATTAATTCAAAACAACGTGGGATTTATCAAATCTCTGAACTCTCAGAGCTGACATTGGGTTCAGTCAGCTGGGTTTGGGTTCAGTACAACACCATGGATTTAAAACTCTAAACTTCCAACTTACAACCCTAAACCTCCAGCTTAAATGAATCAAATTAATTCAAAACAACGTGGAATTTATTAAATCTCTGAACTCTCAGAGCTGACATTGGGTTCAGTCAGCTGGGTTTGGGTTCAGTATAACACGTGGATTTAACTCAGGGATTCCCACAGGTAACAGCAAATCAATCAAATGAATCAAATTAATTCAAAACAACGTGGGATTTATTAAATCTCTGAACTCTCAGAGCTGACATTGGGTTCAGTCAGCTGGGTTTGGGCTCAGTGCAACACCATGGATTTAAAACCCTAAACTTCCAACTTTCAACCCTAAACCTCCAGCTTAAAACCCCAGGTTTTGCCAGCAGAAGAAAACCCAAAGCAGGTTTTTCTGTGCACAGAAATTGTTGTTTCCCACCTTTCTCTCTCTGTCCAAGGCCACTCTGAAGTCCTTGCTGCGCTCCTGGGCCGAGCTGTACCGAGCCTTTGCTCGCTGTGCTGCCCTGGTGGCCACAGCAGAGGAAAACCTGTGCTGTGAGGAGCTGTGCGCCAAAATCATGGCTGGGCTAGAAGGTGAAACTCCAGTAGTGAGTATAAAATGATCATTTAAAAAGATCTCTTTTTAATTGAATCTAAGAATGTGTGTGTAAATCCTGACGTGGTGATTTCTGCAGTGTGGAGTGCCTTGGGGGGGATTGGAGCTTTAGGAATTCTTTTTGCTGGCAGGAGTTGGTAGAGAAATGAAAAAATGAAAATAAGTATAAAGGTTAAATATTCAGAGAGTTAAGCAAATTTTAGATTTGTCTTCTAATTAATGATAATGGTTAATGAGTGTCATGGTGGTGGTAAGTGGGATTTGTCCAGGTGAAATGTGATTATAAATACCACAAACCCAGGCACTGCAGTTAGGAAGGAGAACATGGAACCATCAGCCTTGTACTCTAAAATTTAGGGATTTTACTCCTAAAGCTGTGTAAAAAATAAAGATTTTGAAAGAATCGGTGGTTTTGTTGCCTAAATTTCCTTTTCCCAAAATCGCACCGCATTTAGTTTGGGATATAAAACCCTTCATGCACAAAGTTCACTTTGGAAAAAATACTGTGAAAAACACAAAAAAAATTGAATTTAAAAGCCTGAAATTGAGAGGATTGCATCATTGCAACCTACCTTGGATGCTGCTGTATCCTGATAAATAAATAAATATCACTTTTAAAAATCAATAAATACTAAACAAGACAAACAATTTAAAAGTTCAGTGGGAAGTTATATTGCAACTTCTTTTAGCTCACAATATCAGTGTTCCTTTTAAAGCAAGTTTGGACTTATTTAGGAAAATTTGGATTAAGAGAGGGGGGAAAAAAGCAACTTTGCACATCTTTTTATGCACTAAAAATTATTTGTGATTTGTGGTTTGACTTAATTGTTGTGCCTGTAATGACTTTTCTGGCATCCAGGCTTTATCCTTGAGCACACAGTGGGCTTTGAACCTTAATTTTATTGATTGATCCTAAATGTGGATAAATGATTTAATTGATAGATGATAAATTGATAAATTAGAAAAATTGATAAATGGTTTTTAATTGATTTATCCTACATGTGATTGCTTCTCCCAGCTGCCTGCCACTGCTGGCTGCTTTAGACTCTGTTTATCTTAATTATTAGAATTAGTCAGCCCATCCTCAGTGTAAATGTGTATTTAAAATGGAATTTTATCAACCTCACTGATCATGCAAAACAATCACCCACCTTTAATTAAAAGTTTCTTTGCTGTCCTGAACACCAAGGGTGGTTTTTTCTGTCATTGTTGCTCTTTTGGGGATTGAGTTTTAGTTCTGCTGCTTGATTTTTGTTTTTTCTGATTGATTTCTGTTTCTGCTGATTGATTGATTTTTTTTTGTTTCTGCCGCTTGATTTTTGTTTTTTCTGATTGATTTCTATTTCTGCTGATTGATTTTTGTTTTTTCTGATTGATTTCTGTTTCTGCTGCTTGATTGATTTTTGTTTTTTCTGATTGATTTCTGTTTCTGCTGATTGATTGATTGAATTTTGTTTCTGTTTCCTCTCAGGTGTTCTCCATGCTGGAAGGTCTCACCCACCTTGTGTCAGTCATGGTTGACTGCATCAACTTTGCCCCCTATGGCACTAAATTCCAGCCCAAAACCAGATGTAAGGAAATACTTACATTAAATTTTAAATACTTAAATTAAAAATTAGAGTTTAACAGAAGACAAAAGGTCGCTGGTATAAAACGTTCTTTGCTTTGTTTCCTTTTCCCACTAAAACTGTTAAAGCTGAAGAAATAATTCCCAAAAAAGCATAATTCAGTAAAAAAGGAGTTAAAATCTACCTGCCCCATGGGAATTTGTTAAAGTGGTAAAATTCAGTGTTGGGCTGCTGAGGGAATGAAATGCTGCAATTGGAAATTTTGATGAGGAAGAACATAATGTAAACTTGACTTCCAAATCAATAAAGTAATAAGGGATTGTATTTCTCCTTCCCTCCTGTTCACAGTTCCAGAATTTGTGTGTCAGCTGCTCTCTGAGGAATGGATTTTTATTTTCAAGTAGCCATTCAAACCTTAAAAATTTCAAGTAAAAAATTTCAAGTTCATTAAAACCTTAAAAATTTCAAGTAGGCATTAAAACCCACAGAGTCTGAACAGCCAGAAATATAAATAAGAAGACCAGAAATCAGATAAAATGAGGCATTAAAATTGTGGCTAAGTTGTTAAATCAATTTTTAAACTATTTATATGTAGATCTAGTTTGGGAGGTGAAGCAAAGTGGAGGAAGAATATAATGTAAACTTGATTTCCAAATAGATAAAGTAATAAGGGATTGTATTTCTCCTTCCCTCCTGTTCACAGTTCCAGAATTTGTGTATCTGGTGCTGAGGAGTTGTTTATTTTCAAGCAGGCATTAAATCCTTAAAAGCAGAGTCTGAGCAGCCAGAAAATATAAATAAGAATAGAAATCAGATAAAATTATGGATTAAAATGTGGCTAAGTTGTTAAATCAATTTTTAGACTATATGTAGATCTGGTTTGGGAATCAAAGTTCTTCCTCTCACGCAGACTCAATGTTCAGCTGTGTTTTCAATTCGGTTAAGGGAAAAAATCCAATTTTTAATGAATTTTTGGACCTCAGCTCCGCAGACCCCCACGGACTGGGCCAAGAAGAAGAAGGAGCCCCTTGGCAAGCTGAGCTCTCTGCTGAGGCTGCTGCTGCTGCTGCTGAACTGGTTCCACGAGCTGAGCTGCGGGGAGCAGCCGGCGGAGCCCCTGCTGGCCCCGGGGCTGGCCCTGCTGGCCGCCCTGCACAGCGTCATCAGCCACATCTCCCTGCCCTCCCTGCTGGGCACCACCCTGGGCACCTTCTCCAAACCCCTGGCGCTGTTCTACGAGAAAAACAGGTCAGGATTGAGGGGGGCCTGGGGATTTGGGGGGGTATTACAGCGCCCTGCATGGGGTCGCTGGGGGTGAGAGATGGACGAGAATCTTGTTTCTTGATCAGAAGGCTGGATTTATTGATGTATGGTATATAATACATTAGAACTATACTAAAATAGAATATAAAGAGAGAAGTTGCAGAGCTGCTTCCTAGGCTAAGCTAAGAATAGAAAAAAAGAATCTCTAACGAAGCTGTGTCCAGGGGCTCTGTCCCCAGCTTGCTCCTGTGATTGGCCCATAATTATGAACATGGAACATGAACCAATCCCAGGTGCATCCCATTGCATTCCACAGCAGCTGATAACAATTGTTTACATTCTCCTTCTGGGGCCTTTGCTTCTCAGAAGATGCACAAATCCCAAAGAAAGGATTTCTGTGAAAAAACGTCTGCGACACTTAGAAACAACTACAAGCACAGGACAGACAGAACTTACTGCAGTCTGCAGGTCATGATCTGGGAATCACAAATAAAAACAGTTTCCTATTGGTTAACCTTTACCAATGTGTAATTCTTTGCAGCTGAATGTTGATTCTCTAGAAGCCAATTTATTTCTTTATTATGTCCCCCCAAATGTTTACTTTGTGATAGAACAGGACAATGCAGAGAGAAGTTGCAGAGGCTGCTGCTAAGAATAGAAAAGAAAAAAAATCTAAACCAAAGTTCTGTGTCCAGGGACTCTGTCCCCAGCTTGCTCCTGTGATTGGCCCTTAATTGTACACATGGAACATGAACCAATCCCAGGTGCATCCCATTGCATCCCATTGCATCCCACAGCAGCTGATAACAATTGTTTACATTCTCTTTCTGGGGCCCTTGCTTCCCAGAAAACGAACAAGTCCCAAAGAAAGATTTCTATGAAAAAATACCTGCGACAGGGTGGGAAACTCAAAAAAACTGGAGTTGTGTGGGATGGATTGTGGTGTTGCCAGGAAGAGACGAGGATCTGACTCCGTGTTTCAGAAGGCTGATTTGTTATTTTATGATATATATTATATTAAAGCTATACGAAAAGAATAGAAGAAAGGATTTCATCAGAAGGTTGGTAAGGAAAAGGAATGGAATGATAATAAAATCTTGTGACTGACCAGAGAGGCTGAGCCAGCAGACTGTGATTGGCCATTAATTAGAAACAACCCCATGAGCCCAATCCCAGATGCCCCTGTTGCATCCCACAGCAGCAGATAACCATTGATTTTCTTTTCCACTGAGGCCTCTCAGCTTCCCAAGAGAAATAATTCTAGCAAAACTATTTTTCATAAAATATCTCCCTGACAGTGGAGCTCAGGGTCTGCAGGGCTTGAAAAAAGCTCCATATTTCACGTTGTGATCTCTTCAGAGTGACTCTGTTGGCATCTCTGCAAGGCTCAAAATTTTACTTTCCATACCCTGCAGTAAAGATATTTATTGATAGAAATAAATAAAAATTTTTCAGGAAAAAATAAAAATTTTGCATTAAATTTTCTAGGAAATTATTGATAATTTCTTGAGGTGCACCAAAATCCTTCACGTTTTGAAGCAGAAGAAAATACTGGAACAACTTTGCTTGGTGCTTTTTTCCTGAGCATTGTTTTCTTTGCATTTATTTGTAAAAATGGAAAAGATTATTTTCTGAGCATCATTTTTTTTTTAAGATTTATTCCTGAAAAAGGAGAAGTTGGATAAATATTTTTAAAGAAAAACATGAGGAAGCAAATAAAAATTTGGGAATCTCATCAGCTTGGAGCTCTATAAGCTTCACAGGCTTATAAAACAAGTTAAAAAATGCATTTTGCTCACATTTTTCTGGCTAAGTGCACCTCACCTAAGGATTTTTTGTACATGGAATTTATTTATTTATTTATTTGTTTATTTGGAATTGTTTAGTTTATGGAATTGCTCAGGGGTACTTCAGCTTTTTAATGCCAGTATTTCAGCTTTTCAATGCAAATGTGTTTAAGGAGAGCATTTAGAGTGCAATTAGAAGTTCATCTATAAGAAAAGCTTTAATTTTAAATTTGTACTTATTACCACTGACTTTTCCTTTAACTCCTCCTGAAGTCAGCATATCATGGAATTTAAAGGATGATCTGGGAAACTCCATCAGGAAATTGTTTAGTCCCCAACTGAGGCTCATTTCACAGAATTATTCCATCAAGTTACTCACTAAAACCAGCGTGCAGTGCTGGAATTTGTTACATTTTTATGCTCGGGATAAATGAGACAGCAAAAGAGAAATAAATTGGATTTGTTTTGGCAGGCTCCCTGAGGTACCCAAAGTGTACAGCAGTCTGAACAACAAGGTAAATCTGCTGCAGAAATCACTGGGGCTCGGGGAGATGGGGAACAGCAGAGTTCTTCAGGCCGTTTCTCCTGGAATTAAAAAAAAAACTTCTAAATGAAAAAAAATTAAATTTTAGAAGTGAGGATTTGGGGGAGATGCGGAACAGCAGAATTCTGCCATTTCTTCTGTATTAAAAAAAGATAATGAAAAATGTGATGAGGAGGGTAGAGATTGAATTTTAAAATTCTTTTAAATTTAAAATTTAAATTCTAGAAGTAAGGATTTGGGGGAGATGCGGAACAGCAGAGTTCTGCCATTTCTACTGTAATAAAATAAAAAATGCGATGAGGGTAGAGATTTAATTTTAAAATTCTTTTTTAAGTTTAAAAAATTAAAAATTTAAATTGCAGAAGTAAGGATTTGGGGGAGATGCAGAACAGCAGAATTCTGTCATTTCTCCTGTATTAAAAAAAGATAGTAAAAATGTGATGAGGAGGGTAGAGATTTAATTTCAAAATTCTTTTAAATTTAAAGAATTTAAAATTTAAATTCTAGAAGTGAGGATTTGGGGGAGATGGGTAACAGCAGAATTCTGCCATTTCTGCTGTATTAAGAAAAGATAATGTGATGAGGGTAGAGATTTAATTTTAAAATTCTTTTAAATTTAAAATTTAAATTCTAGAAGTAAGGATTTGGGGGAGATGAGGAACAACAGAATTCTGCCATTTCTACTGTAATAAAATAAAAAATGGGATGAGGGTAGAGATTTAATTTTAAAATTATTTTAAGTTTAAAATTTAAATTGCAGAACTAAGGATTTGGGGGAGATGCGGAATAGCAGAATTCTACCATTTCTTCTGTATTAAGAAAAGATAATGTGATGAGGGTAGAGATTTAATTTTAAAATTATTTTAAATTTGAATTTAAATTATTTTAAATTAAAAAAATTAAAATCGAAATTCTAGAAGCGAGGAGCACTCAGCCCTGGGACTTTAATGCGATGTGACATTTCGCGCTGTAATTTAATGTTGAAAATTACCTTGTAACTCAAATATTTTGAATTTTATTTGGAAATTTCTATTAACCCTGCTGTGTTTTGTTCTCCCCGAGCTGGAGAAGCTGCTGGCAGAGATCCTGCAGTGCCTGCAGTGCCGCTGCCCGGGCTCGTGCGACTCGGAGCTGCTGCAGCAGCTGAGCCCGGCGCTGTGTTAAGAAAAGATAATGTGATGAGGGTAGAGATTTAATTTAAAAATTATTTTAAATTTAAATATAAACTATTTTAAATTAAAAAAATTAAAATTGAAATTCTAGAAGCGAGGAGCACTCAGCCCTGGGACTTTAATGCGATGTGACATTTCGCGCTGTAATTTAATGTCGAAAATTACCTTGTAATTCAAATATTTCAGATTTGATTTGGAAATGTCTATTAAACCCTGTATGTTTTGTTCTCCCCGAGCTGGAGAAGCTGCTGGCAGAGATCCTGCAGTGCCTGCAGTGCCACTGCCCGGGCTCGTGCGACTCGGAGCTGCTGCAGCAGCTGAGCCCGGTGCTGTGCGCGGCCTTCCAGCACAGGAACCGGCAGATCCGCCAGCAGGGCGCCCAGCTCTGGAACTGCACCTTCGCCAAGGCCTCCTCCCTCACCTACCCCCAGCAGCTCAAGTAAGGAACGGCTCTGCAGCGAGGTGTTTTGGCCTTGTAGAGCAGAGGAGGTCAGAGCCCGGCTGGCTGAGGTTAAGGTGACACCCAGCTGCAATCCTGCCAGCACCCTCGGCGTCGCGAGGCCTCGGGCTGTGCTGGTTGAGGACGGGATCGCTGCTAAACACGAGAAGGAAGGAGCTGGACACTCGCTGGGGGCTAAACTTGGTTTATTGGGAAACCCACAGAATGACCCAGAACAAAGGGTGCTTCAGGGTTATAAAGGGAAGGGGTGGACCCGGGAGGGGTTTACAGAAGACCAATGGGGGGAGAAGAGGGGATGAGCTTAACACAAATGAGATAGTGGAGAGCCCAATGGGTACCAGGTATGGGAGGGGCCCCGGGACCACAGCCAACCACAACCCCCAAAGAGGAGAAGCTTCTGGAATGCTAGGTGGAGTGGGGGGGGTGATTGACTTGGCCCAGGGAGGAGAAAAAGCATACATGTAAGGGAAAAAGGGGAGGAGGAATTGCATAACCTAACAGATTGACAATAGAACTGGCAGGGCTGTGGCGGGAAAACTGAGGAGGGCAGAACCACCCTACACAACATGGGGGGGAGCGGGTACATAAAATGGGGGAGGAATTAAAATGAACTTAATGAACACACTACAACACAGCTTTGTATTGCTCCCATCCTCTCATAAATGGTGCTGTGCCATTCTGGTTCCCTGGGCAAGCTGCTGCTCTTTTGCTGCACCTTTCCCCTCCCATAAATCTAAAATAATTTTCAATTCTTTGTTGTTGAGCAGGTCTGTGTTAAGCCAAGCGAAAAAGAAAATCCCTCTGCTGCTGCCTGGTTTTGAGAGCGTTGAGGTGTCTGAGGAGTGCAGTGGCCCCTTCTCTGACCTGGTAAATGTTTTGTTGGGAGTTGTTCAGCAGGGAGTGAAAGGTCAGCTGGGATTTTTGATCTGATTGACCTGCACTGGTTTCGTATTAAGGATGATAAACTCTGCTGGGTTAGCAATATCAAAAGACTCAGCTTGGTTTTGCCACTTCCTGCATTGTAAATTTAGAGTTCTAAGAATTTCTTTGAAATAATTAATTTTTTAAGTTGTTATCTAGGAATTTGAGTTCTAGGAATTTCTTTGAAATAATTAATTTTTTAAGTTGCCCTCTACATAATTCAAAAGAAATTGGTAGGTGTGGGATGGTTTTATTCTAGAAATTACCACAGGGTGGGTTTGTGAGCTTGGAGCTCCTTCCCACAGCGCACTCAGTGTGGTTTTGTGTGGACAGATGGAGAATTCCCAGCTGGATGCAAAGATCAGTGGAATGGAGGTGAAGGTGGGACAGAAACGAGATTCAATCTTGGTACAGAGTGAAGCCAGAAGTGATGGCAAGGACAAGCCCAGCAACGTGCAAGCAACACCTGCCAAGGTAAATGTTCCCAGAGAGGGGTCCTGCAATCTAATCCAGGCTCTTCAGGGCAAAATCAGCACTTTGGGGATGCTGAAATATTTTTCTTTCCAGCTTGGGCTGCCCAGCAGAGTCAGTTAACATTCCTGTCAGAATTCTCTGTGCTGGTTGTGACAGATTGGGGTTTTGCTGGGCTCTGGGGTTGGCAGATCCCTCACAGAGATAGGCCATGCCCTTCAGAAATTCCTGATTTCCAGTTCCTCTCTTGTTCCTAACCCAGGATTTGGTGGTTTTTTATCTTTCTGCAGTTAAAACTAGAATTTCCATCTCCTAAGACAACAAGTGAGACGCTTCTGGAAGAGGAGAAATCTGTTGATTTTGTGTTTATTCCTCCAGAAACAAAACCAAGAATATTGACAGAACATCAGAAGGAAGTGCTTAGGTCAAAGAGGTCTGTCATTTATTGTTTTAAACTTCATGTGGAATGTCTTTCCTTGAGTAGCTGAGCTTGACTTAACTTCAGTTCCTGTTCTCACAGCACCCCAGGCCATTGAGTCTTGTTCTTCCATACCAGCTATGGAGTTTAAAGCTAAGAGAGTTCCTTGCTTTGCTGTTTTAAAGCAACCAAATTATCCTTGCAATGGCATTTCCTCTTCTGGTTAAATACACTCTCTCTAGTCTGTTTGGAGTCCAGATTTTTACTTTGTGACTCAGAGTGTGAAATAAAAGATGTCATTTTTCATAAATCGTGGAAATGAAAGGATTGGGTAAAACAATCTGAGGAAGGGATTTCTTGAGTCACAGCAGGTCAGGAATTAGGGTATTCCCAAGACTCACCTTGATTGCAGAAGAACCTTTGGAATGATCTCTTTTAATGAGAGAAGATAATGTTGGTGTGTTTCTGTGCTTGGGCAGCAGCAGCAGTGTAAGCAGGACGTGAGGCAGGAACTGCTCTGGGCTGTGGTGAATTCTTTGCAGAGAGGGAATCCCAATCACAGCTTTTATTCCCCAAAAATAAAGATTTCGTGCAGCTGATAAGAATGGCCTTGAAATAAGGAGATAATAAATTCCCATTCCTGGTGTTGTTCCAGAGCTGACATTCCTGCCATGTACAACAACTTGGATGCTTCCCAGGACACCAGCTCGTTCTCCCAGTACAGCCAGAGCCAGGAGGATTCTCTGTGAGTACAAATGCCCAGCTGTGGTTGTTGAAGGGTTCTCCTTTGGCAGCAGCACTGATTTCAGTCATTCTCTTCTAGGGAAATGCCACCTGCAGTAGAAACTGCCAAAGAAGACCCTGCAAACCAACCTCAGGTAATTTCCCATTGTCTGATGGTCACTAAAATCAGTTTCTACCAAATGTGACAGGTTTTGTGATTTGTTCTCCGTTCTCAACACCAAGTGAGAGAATTTTAACACCATTGCAGTGCCGTGTTCTGCTTTATGTAATTTATTCCTTTAGGATTAATTAGAGTATCATTGAGGCCAAATCATTGTGTATTTGATGTTAGGATGGGAGGATTTATGTGAGCAGTTTCTGATCCCCCACGTGCCTCTGCTGCCACAGTATTTCATTGGGGTAAAGGTTGTAAATCCTGAATTCCTTCTGGGGCGGACTTGCCTGAACAGCTGCTGTGCTAACAGCCACTCAGAGCAGGTGAAATACAGCAAAACTTCAAGCATTTTTGTGGTTATTTGTTTTGGGATTAAATGGCTTTTTAAAGTGTCTTTTATAGCTGTCAAAACACACATAATAAATCATGTGGTGGTTAGAAAAACCTTGTGGGTGTGTTGTTTTCTATTGCACCAGAACTGCAGTTGATTATTGTATAATATTCATTGGGCAGGTACAACTGTTCCATTTGATTCCTGGGACAAACCTTTTGCTGTTGATGTTTTTGGGACAGGAGGAGCACGTGGGGAGTGAAGGATCTCACTCAGAGGAGAGCCCAGCCTGCACCAGCGAGGAGGAGACCAAAAACGAGATAGCAGAGATGATCCCAGAGGAAACCTCCATTGGAGAAGATATGGAGACAAGCTCTGTGGAAGCAGCTCCTCAGGAGGCCTCAGCAGGGAAGGAGGACACCCCAGATGTCACCAGCAGCTCAGCAGGAAAGGAGGACACCTCAAATGTCACCAGCTGCTCAGCGGGGAAGGAGGACACCTCAGATGGACACCTGGATGCCAGCAGCTCAGCAGGGAAGGAGGACACTTTAGATGTCACCAACAGCTCAGCAGGGAAGGAGGACACTTTAGATGTCACCAACAGCTCAGCAAGGAAGGAGGACACTTTAGATGTCACCAACAGCTCAGCAGAGAAGATGGACACCTCAGATGTTATCAGCAGCTCAGCAGGGAAGGAGGACACCCCAGATGTCACCAACAGCTCAGCAGGAAAGGAGGACACCCCAGATGTCACCAGCAGATCAGCAGGGAAGGAGGACACCCCAGATGTCACCAGCAGCTCAGCCTCCAGTGACATTGTCTCTGGCACGCCCCAGCCCGTGAGCCGGCGCCAGTCCTTCATCACGCTGGAGAAGTTCGGGGCTGCAGAGAGCAGCCCCTTCAGCCCAGCCCCGCTGGGCTCTGTGTCAGAGCTGCCTGGGAGCCCTCCTGAGGCAGCCACACGGGAGAGCAGCAGTGACAGCAGGGCCGGAGCTAAGGCAGAGAAATCTGGGGAGGAGGGCAGAAACCCCCCAAAAGCCGAGGCCGCCGCGCCTGCCCGCAGGGTGACGCGCCGGCAGAGCAGGATGGAGCTGCAGGGCAGCAAAGCCAAACTCCAGGGCAGGCCAGGGGAGCCCCCGGCCCCTGAGAGCCTGGAGAGCAGTGCTGAGCTGGGCTCTGCAGTGGGGGACGTGGAGCACATCCTGCTCAGCCACTCGCAGGCGCTGCTCTCCACCGAGGCCGACATCCAGAGCGCCGAGGGCGCCATCGCCGAGATGGACAAGGCCCGGGGGCAGGACACGGACTCGAAGGAAAACACCCCCCCAGAGAGCAGCAGCTGCCCTGAGCCGCCCCCAGGGGAGGACAGCCAGGGGCCACAGGCGTCCCCGCAGCAGAAGCAGCTCAGACGCTCCTCCAGGAGACGCTCGGAGCCCGCGGAGAGCTCCTCGGGCAGCCAGGACAGGGAGGATGGGCCCCCCAAGAGAGACAGGAGGAAAGAGGAGGAGAAAGCTGGCCAGAAGAAGCTGTCCCAGGGGAAAGGTGATGGATCCCAGAAGCAGAAAGGAGTTCCCGGGAAAACCATGGAGAACACAAAAGAGAGCAGCCAGCCCGAGAGAGTGGCAGAGGAGTGGGGCTCCAAGGACTCCCCTGCTCTCAGGGGGCTGGAGGAGGAGGCTGGCAGGGCTGGCAGGAGGGCAGAGGAGGCCCCCAGGGCAGAGGGGGAAGGCTCAGCAGGGCCGAAGGTGGAGCGGCCACGGTACCACACCAGGAGATCCTCCCAAGGGCTGCTGGCCAGCATAGAAAACTCTGAGGCTGACAGCTCTGAGGGCAAGGAGGAGAGCACAAAGAAGAAAAAACCTCTGAAAGTGAGAGGCAGAAGCAATTCTCTGGAAGGGAAATTGAAAGAGGGACAGGCAGGCAGCCAGAGCCCTGAGGCACCTGCCCAGGGAAGCGACACCAAGAGTGCCCTGGAGGCCAGTAAAGGTGAGCCTGAGCTGGGCACAGGGGCCGCAGTGCCAGCTGAGCCTGGTGGCCTGGAAAAGCAGGAAATTGCTGCAGAGGCTGAGGGCTCTGGCAGCTCTGAGAGTCCAGGAGCTCTGCGGGACACCAGCGTGGAGCCCAACAAGGCTGATGCATCCATGGAGTCCCTGGGCAGCCCCTGTGAGCCTGAGCAGGATGGGAGAGCAGCAGAGGAGAGGCAGAGCAGCTCGGGGGACTGTGCCCCAGGTGCTGAGCCCTCCTCTGTGCAGAGCCCCGAGTGCCACAACAAGAGGAGCAAAAGGGTGAAAAAAATCAAGAGCTGCGATTGCTGCTTCAAAAAGCCAAAGCAGCAGGTGCCTGAATCGAAGCTCTCTGAGTCTAAAATGGAGAAAGCTGAGCTGGAGGAGCCTGAGAGCACCCAGACCCCAGCTGATACCCCAGCCCAGAATGTTTCTGGTGCCTCAGATTTGGAGGAGAGCTTGGCCCTGGCTCCCTGTGGAATGAGCACTCCACTGCACCCTCCTGAGGAACCCAGCACCTTCAGCCTGGACAGGCAGGAGATGGACGTGGAGAACCTGCAGGGAAGCAGTGTGGGGGTGGAGGAGCAGAATCCAGAGGATCCAGAGGCTTCAGCAGCTGAAACCACCGAGTCCATGGAGGAAATAAAGGAACCTGCTGAGCAGAAGGAGCAAACAGAGCAGGTTCTGCCTGAGAGCGTTCCTGAAGAGCCCAGGGAGAGCTGCCTGGACTCAGGGGAGCAGGGGGAAGAACCAGCAGCTGCAGAAAAGGAGGAAATAAAGGAGAATGGAGAGCTGGAGCCTGAGGAGCTGAGTGCTGACAGCAAACCTGAGGAAAAAGAGGTGAAGGAGCTGGAAGGAAATGAGGAGGATAAAGGAGAAGCTGAGAACTCTGCTGGGGAAACTCGTGTTGGTGCAGATCAAGAGATGAAGGAGGAATTGGAGGAGAAGGAAATCAAAGTGCCTGAGAGCGTGGCCGTGGCAGAGCCGAGCGTGGATTCCCCCCTGAAGGGGGCAGGGGCTGCCCCAGGGCAGGTGGCTGAGAGCCCCACCAGCCTCCAGGCCCGCTGCACGTGGTCCCCCTCAGCCTCCCCCTCCACCAGCATCCTCAAGAGAGGGGTCAAGAGGAGCCAGGAGGACGATTCCCTGTCCCCTGCCAACAAGGTACGCCCTGGGAACTGGGTGCTGCTCCATGGGGAACTGAAATCACTCCAAATCTGTTAAATAACTGGTGACTGGTGTGAACGATCTTACAGGAATGGTGAGGTTTGGGTTTGGAATGTGCCAGATTTGCATTGTGAGGGTTTTATTTTGAACCAGAGCACCCTGGATCACTGCACAGCCAGGAGCAGCACGCTCAGGGTTGTACACAGAGATTCCTGAGGGAATCCTCAGTCTGTCCTTGCTGAAACATTCCCTGGGTCGTTCAAGAACTTCAGTGATTCCAAGCTGATTATTTTTGTCTCCTCAGAGTGACTTCCCCAGGCTGTGCTGGGTTGAGTTCCCACTCTGAAACCTCCCTCTCTCTCCTCAGATCCGTCGAGTCTCTTTTGCCAACCCCATTTTCCAGGAGGGCCTGGCAGACGACATCGACAGGAGGAGTCCTGTCATCAGATCCCATTCCTCACCCTCCTCCAGGAGCCTTAAAATCCTCTCCAACATGCAGGTCAGGGTAAATCCTGTACAATATTCTGTGTGTCCCAAGTATTTGTGTATTTATCATGAACAGCATGGCTTTGGTGCATGTTTGTAATCACTTACACACAGTTGTAAGGGCTGAGGAGCAGAAGTGTAAGAAACAAAACTGCCTTAGCCGGACTCATTCTGTTACTGTGAACTCTGAGGTTTCAGGGGCTAAAATCTCACTATTAACTGAATTCCTGCTGTTAACTGAATTCCTACCATTGACTCAATTCCTACCACCCTGAGATGTTTTTTTCCTCTTTTTCTATCCAGCACATTACCACTCCAACCAAAGGATTTCTGTCCCCAGGATCTCGTACCCTTAAATTTAAGAGCTCAAAGAAGTGTTTAGTAAGAAGTGCTTTAGTTCATGTTTCCCTTCTATTTTTTTTCCCTGTTTTCAGTGGGTGACAGTGAATTTAATGCTCTGCCTGTGTTGTCCCAGATCACAGAGATGGCCAAGGAGTCCCTGCCGTGCCTCTCGGAGTTTGTGTACCCTGCCCTGGCCGGCTGCAAAGCCCCTGTGGATGTCATTTTACCTCAGATCACATCCAACATCTGGTCAGTGGCTCCTTGCTTTTGGAGGTGATTTCAGTAAAGACTGAGCTCTTACTGAGCCTAAGTTTTAGCCAGAATTCTTTAAAGGGATTGGGGTTGGTTGGGTGAGGAAGAGACTTGAATATTTTGACGTTCTTCAACTTTTTTGGTGACGGAAAAGCTCCCCAGGTTTGGGGAGTTAGTGCAGGGCCAGGAGTTGGATTGCTGATCCTGTGGCTCCCTCCAGCTGGGGATATTCCCTGACTGTGCACCAATAACCCATTTTCCTTCCCCTGCTGCAGTGCCAGGGGCCTGGGGCAGCTCATCCGAGCCAAGAACATCAAGACCGTGGGAGACCTGAGCACTCTGACAGCCCTGGAGATCAAAACCCTCCCCATCCGCTCCCCCAAGGTCTCCAATGTCAAAAGAGCTCTGAAGGGATACCATGAGCAGCAGGTAAAGTGGGATTTCAGCACCCTGGGAGCCAAAATTGATCCCATTCCCTGTAACAGGAATGGTGCCTTTTTCCTTCATTAAAAACAGCACTGTAAAACCTAATCCTTGCCTGCCTCAGTACCATGAATTCAAGATGTTAAACTGTTATTATTAACAGGAAAAGTGATTGGATTTATTATGATATTTAAAATTTATTGAGATTTACAATTTATTTATTACTCACCATGTAATTTAATTCTTTTTTCAATCTGAAAATGTTTTCTCTCCCCCAAACACGCCCAGGTGAAATCTCGGGTGTTGGAGGAAAGCGCAGTGCTCGAAGATGCTGAGAAGCCTGGGAATGATGTGGAGGAGAAATCTCTGAGTGGAGATGAGGAAAAACTTGCAGCAGGTACCTGCTGGTGGCTTTTTGCTTTGGATTTGGAGGGTTCTGCTGTCCTGGTGGTGGTAGCGTTCAGAAACACACGATCACGGGGGATTACATGCGGTGCTTTTTATTAAGAGCTCTGGGAATCGGGGTGTATTCAACCCAAACCTGACTCTGACCACACATCCCAAATGATCATGTTTTATACTCTATCGTTACATAACTTTCATGTTAATTATTAAACTTATATTGTTCTATTGTATACATAAATTTAGCCCCTCTCTGAATTTCCAACATAGTTTCTCACTATTCTTCTTATGGTTATATAATAATTACATTTAATTACTAAGCAATCATCACATCTAACAATTATATAATTTATCATACTGCTTACGCAGGTGCAGTTGATCTGGGAAAGCGCAAAGCCGAACATTTTAGATTCCATCTTTAACTTTTTCCAGAGTTCCACTATCAGTGGAGAGAATTATTTTGGGTTTAGGTTTATTCTAACCCTGAGGAAGGGCAGGGTGCAGTGCCTTTCTGGGAATGTTTCCCCTGGAATAAATGCACTGCAGGCTGCTCAGAGATGTGATTTTGTACAAAACCAGCTGGAATTGTGCTCGGATTTCCCTGCATTGTCTCCTTTCCCTCCCTGCAGATCTGGTGGACGCAGGCAGCAGCAGCACCAGCAGCACCAGCAGCAGCACCAGTGGCAGCAGCAGCAGCACCGGCAGCAGCAGCAGCGGCAGCAGCGGCAGCAGCGGCAGCGAGCCGCCCGCCGTGGATCTGCCGGGGCAGGTGCAGGCTCTGGCAGCCCAGCTGAGCTCCGAGGGGCTCGGGGCCTACTCGGGCCGGCAGCTGCTGGAGATGCAGGAGAAGCTGCTGGGGATGGCCGCGAGCATCGCCCGGAGCCTGCGGGGCCGCTGGCACTGCCCCCCCCACGCGGGCACCCCCGAGTAGCCGCGCCCGCCCGGGAGGGGCTCGGTGCCGCACGGGGCTCCTCGCTGCTCACCTGCTGCTGCTTTGGGGCTGGAGGAGAGTTTCTTAACATCTTCGTGGATTTATTAGCTTTTTTTTTCCTCTTTTATTTCTTTTCCTTTCCTTTTTTTTTTTCTTTTTTTTTTCCTTTTTTTTTTCCTTTTTTTTCCTTTTTTTTTTCCTTTTTTGTTTCCTCTTTGTTTCCTTTTTGTTTTCCCCCCTTTTTTTCCCCCTTTTTTTCCCTTCCTTTTTTCCCCTTCCTTTTTTTCCCCTTCCTTTTTGTCCCCTTCCTTTTTTTTCCCCTTCCTTTTTTTTCCCTTCCTTTTTTTTCCCTTTCCTTTTTTTCCCTTTCCTTTTTTTTCCCCTTCCTTTTTTTCCCCTTCCTTTTTTTCCCCTTCCTTTTTCTCCCCTTCCTTTCTTCCCCTTCCTTTCTTCCCCTTCCTTTCTTCCCCTTCTTTTTTTCCCCTTTTTTCTTTTGCCTTTTTTCTTTTGCCTTTTTTTTTCCCCCTTTTTTTCTTTGCCCTTTATTTCTTTGCCTTTATTTTCTGCTGGTTCCTCCCCCTCCCAGAGCCGTGGGCCGGTTCCCTCCCTGCAGAGCTGTTCCTGTGGGATTGCTATGCATCTTTCTTTCAGGCCGTGAAAGAAAACCTGACAAAGCTGTGCAATAGCAGAGACTGTGAAAAACCAAACCAACAGAGTAATTAAATTATTTTTTTTCAAACCCAAAGTGTTCTTACTGCTGCAAACTCCTGCTGAGAGCGGGCTGAGAGCTGCAGCTGCCAGCTCTGCCCCCTCCTGGCCCAGCTGCCTCCTCTGGAGCTCTGGCAGCCTGTGTGAGCTGAGCTGGGCTTCATTCCCTCCTGCAGGAGCCTGGGATTTGTACTGGATCTATTTTTCCATGTATTTTTGTACGACTCAAGCTCAGAGGAAATGTGCTTGCACAGGAGAGACTCTGCAGAGCCCCCCAGGCTGCGCCCCCTGGCCTTTGCTGGCAGCAGCTCTCCTGGTGGGAAGGCTTTTCCGTGAGGAAATGATGGATTTGGACAAGAGCTCTTTGTATATTGTGTACAGACTCACAGCAGATGTTGGGTAATAATTTATGGAGTTTTAATTGCATGGATTGCATTGCTGCTGCTTGGAGACCTTCAGCCAGAGCTCCCAGGTTTTCCCTGTGGGATTCTGATCTGTATATATTGTACTGTAGCTCTCCAGATGGGTGTTTATTGAGAGGAAGTGCTGCAGGTGCTTTTCCAACTTTTACATGGGCAAATAAAAGAGCTGAGAGTTCCCAGACTTGGCGTGGCCTCGTGGTTTGGTGGCTTCTGGGCTTTTTCTCTCTCCACCTTCCCCTCAGGTTGGGATTCCCAGGGCTGGGAGGGACCTTGGAATGTCACCAGTGCTGGTGGAAGGCGGGAGCAGGTCCTTGAGGACAGGGTGGGATCTGGGCTGCAAAACTCTCAGGATTTTTGACCCTGTTTGCGTCTCACGGAGAAAAAGGATGGGACAAACAGCTGGAGCTGCAAGGGGAAGCTCTGTGGCTTTTCTTGGTTTGGTTCCAGATGTGCCTCCTTGGGAGAGTTCAGCTTTCCAGGTCAGGATGCTCCTGAGCCATGGGAAGGGTTTGGATCCCAGCTCCCAGTGCTGGCAGTGCTGGACCTTGGGGAAGGACATTTCCCTTCCCATGCCCCTGCTGGGAATTCCCTCTGACTCTGAACTCCTCAGGGGTGATGCTACAACCCCTGCTGTTAACTGGGATTTAATCTCTGGGAGACACAAGATCCAGGGCTTTTTATTCCTTTGTGTGGAGTGGCTGCTGCCAGGTGCTGCAGGAGATGAAGCAAAATCTGATGTTCAGGTGTGGAATGACCCCAGTTCTGGGTCCGTGCTCAGTGTGGGGTGAATTCCCTTTCCCAGCACCACAGCACCCATCCATCCATCCATACTGCAGAAACCTCAGCTTTATTCATCGCTAATTTACAAGAAATCACAGCTTTTGCCCCCAGAACAGTTGCAGGAGAACGCATTCATGAGAGCTCAGCAAGCAGGAGAGGGGTGCTTGCTTTTCCCTCCCCAAATAAATTGGGTTGAAATCCAAAGCTTAAATGGAAAACAAAATTAAGAGATTGAAACATTTTAGAACAGCCCAGAAAAATTCTCTTTGTTGGATAATGAATCATAATGTGTGTGTTAATCTTTAGCAATGGAATTTTGGAGATGTTGTGTAGTGTCGTAGTATGTAGATACATTAGATATCTACATCTGATCTATCGAATGTATTAGATGAAATGTTTGAAATTCCAGAAAAAATTGGGACTGTTTGGCACTGGGACAAAGGCAGGATGTGCTTAGAGGTGCTTTTGGAAACATTGTGTGAAATATTCCAGGTGTGTTTTGCTCTGCAGTTATTCCTGTTGTGGCTGAGGGGGCCAGGAGGGCTTGGGGACGGTGTCCCACCCCAGGCTGAGCTGTCCCACCCCAGGCTGAGCTGTCCCGTCCCTGGGTGAGCTGTCCCATCCCAGGCTGAGCTGTCCCATCCCTGGGTGAGCTGTCCCATCCCTGGGTGAGCTGTCCCACCCCAGGCTGAGCTGTCCCACCCCAGGCTGAGCTGTCCCATCCCAGGATGAGCTGTCCCACCCCAGGATGAGCTGTCCCGTCCCAGGCTGAGCTGTCCCATCCCAGGATGAGCTGTCCCATCCCAGGATGAGCTGTCCCACCCCCGGATGAGCTGTCCCATCCCAGGATGAGCTGTCCCACCCCAGGCTGAGCTGTCCCGTCCCAGGATGAGCTGTCCCACCCCAGGCTGAGCTGTCCCACCCCTGGGTGAGCTGTCCCACCCCAGGATGAGCTGTCCCACCCCAGGCTGAGCTGTCCCATCCCAGGCTGAGCTGTCCCATCCCAGGCTGAGCTGTCCCACCCCAGGCTGAGCTGTCCCGTCCCAGGATGAGCTGTCCCACCCCAGGCTGAGCTGTCCCACTCCAGGATGAGCTGTCCCATCCCAGGCTGAGCTGTCCCACCCCAGGATGAGCTGTCCCACCCCAGGCTGAGCTGTCCCACCCCAGGCTGAGCTGGCCCGTCCCAGGGCGCCGTCCCAGCCGGGGCAGGCCGGGCTCACACGGCCTCCACGTAGTTGGCGGGCAGCATGCCGGTCTTGCCGGTTCTCTGCACGGTGCCGTACATCCAGCCCTCGTCGATGGCCTGCACGTTGACAATGGTGTCCCCGTCCTTGAAGGACACCTCGTCCGCGTCCGCCGCCGTGTAATCGTACATGGCCCGGAACGTCTTCTGCAGGGACACAGGGGACAGGGTCACACTGATGGGACACAAGGGACATGGCCACACCCTGACATAGCTCAGAATCTCTTCTGAAGGGACACAAAGGACATGGCCACATCCTGCCATGGCCTGGAATGTCTTCTGCAGGGACACAGGTGACACAAGGGACGTGGCCACACCCTGACATGGCTCTAAACCTCTTCTGAAGGGACACAAAGGACATGGCCACACCCTGCCATAGATCAGAACTTCTGAAAGGACACAGAGGACATGGCCACATCCTGACATGCCCTGGAATGTCTTCTGCAGGGACACAGGTGACACAAGGGACATGGTCACACCCTGACATGGCTCAGAACTTCTGCAGGGACACAAAGGGACATGGTCACACTCTGCCATGGCCTGGAACGTCTGCAGGGACATGGGATACAAAGGGACATGGTGACACCCTGACATAGCTCAGAAGGGATGCGGTCACACCCTGACATGGCTCAGAACCTCTTCTGAAGGGACAGAAGGGACATGGTCACACCCTGATGTGGCCTGGAACGTCTTCTGCAGGGACACAGGACAGAAGGGACGTAGCCAAAGCCTTACAGGGGACATGGCCACACCCTGATGTGCCCCAGACCCTCTTCAGAAGGGACACAAAGGGACAGAAGGGACATGGTCACACCTTGACATGGGACAAAAGGGACACGGTCAGACTCTGACATAGCCTGGAATGTCTTCTGCAAGGACAGAAGGGACATAGGGATGGGATTGGTGTCACAGCAGGGTCTGGCTGCTCATTCAAACCTGGCTGTGGATTCTCCTCCCTCCCTGAGCCCCCTGAGTGCCACAACCCCGGGGCCGCTGGTGACACTGAGCCTGAGCAGTGTCCCCACGGTGGCCCTGGGCACCAGCAGCTCCAAGTGTCACTCAGAAGTTGTTGCCTCCCAGCAGTTCCTGGGGGCGATGCCATTCCCCCTGTCCTTTACTCCAGAGGCAATCCCTGACCGAGCACTTCCTCCCAGCCCTCAGCTTGCAAGGGCTGAGTAGGAAGAAGAGCCCATGCCAGGTTCCCAAATGCCCATTCCAGGTTTCCAGGTGCCCATTCCAGGTTTCCAAATGCCCATTCCAGGTTTCCAAATGCCTATTCCAGGTTCCCAAATGCCCATTCCAGGTTTCCAGGTGCCCATTCCAGGTTCCCAAATGCCCATTCCAGGTTTCCAGGTGCCCATTCCAGGTTTCCAAATGCCCATTCCAGGTTTCCAGGTGCCCATTCCAGGTTCCCAAATGCCCATTCCAGGTTTCCAGGTGCCCATTCCAGGTTTCCAAATGCCCATTCCAGGTTTCCAGGTGCCCAATCCAGGTTTCCAAATGCCCATTCCAGGTTTCCAGGTGCCCATTCCAGGTTTCCAAATGCCCATTCCAGGTTTCCAGGTGCTCATTCCAACTTTCCAGGCACAGGGGAGGCTCTGTCCCACTTCAGTCCCTGTCACACCTGGTTTCATACAGAGCCTCAGCTCCGTAGACTGGAATGCCACCAACTCAGTCTTGGATTAGCACTGTTAATTAGTGTTAATTAATTGTTAATTAGTGGCTGTGACCCCTCCAGGGCCCCAGGGTTACTCACCCCAGCAGTGGAGGGGTGGGAAGGCACTGAGGACACCGTGGTTTGCTGGGTGGCCACTGAGGAGGAGCGTTGCTGTGGCAGCTCAATGGTC